GAGTTTAGGACCCACGTCATATAAGTTTTTTTTGTTTATTTTAATGTATTCTATCGTCTGCTAAAATTAAGGCTGTCAAACTTCTAACACCCTGTATATTACCTATACAAGGTCGGAAAGTCCCCATGGTTCATCGACCGTTACGTGAGAGCGATAAAGCAAGTCATAGAAATCCGTGCGATAGAGAAAGATGGCTATAATGAAGGCATCTAATAGTCACCCCCCATTTCGCCCTTCCACAAATAAGAAGTGGATCTTATTTGTGGAAGGGTGAAATGGGCGGTGATTATTAGACGCCTTCATTATAGCCATCTTCCTTTATCGCACGGATTTCTATGACTTTCTTTATCGCTCTCACTTAACGGACGATGAACCATGGGAACTTTCCGACCCTGTATTAATAACTGCAGTGAAAGTAAACCATTAGCCAGGTAATTTAAAAATCCCAGGTAACTTTTGTATATTATGGATTATTATTTTTTTAATCTGTGTCCTTGCTTCTTGCCGTAAATTTTTTAGCTCTTAGCTCTAACAAAAATTTCATGATTTTTTAATTTAAACTGAAATAAAATGTATTATACTGTACCTACACTATTACAATAATCAATTAAAGTACCTTATAATGTAACAAACAGGATAAGAAAAGAAACTTCGCGATTAAAACTTACCGTGTTTTGGATTTATTGGAAATTACGACGTAAAGGAGAGTTGGCAGAACTTCAGGGCCGATTTTTTACGCCAAAACTAATTAATTTTTTGCTTAAGAGTCTTATTTAACTTAAACCTTTTCGTAAGGGCATTCAAATATTTGAACAAAAGTGAGAGGGAAATTTAAGCAAAAGGGCAAATGTAACAAAGATAGTTTAGGAGTTTATTCGCTAGTTCTTTGAAAGATAAATACAAATTTTTGGTCGACTATTAAAAACTTTGCGTTTAATATTTACGTAACTTTCATATAAACTCGTAAGTAGACCATGGAAAATAGTAATTCATCAACAAGAACCGAAATGAATATCAGGGTAGGCCTAGGGGCTCTGATAGCAGGTCCGCCTCCACAAAGCCTAGCCCGAGAGGGAAATGCATTTTAAGTCTAAAACAATCCAAAAAACCATCGTGTTTTCAATATAAACACGAACTGTGAAAGCTTTAAAACCACCAGCGTATCACATGTGATTTTTTTTTGTTTTTTACCTTTGTGATTCAAATGTGATATTAATTACCGTTTCGACGTAAAAAACATCTGTGTAATATAAAATTTTATTAGGTTCACCCCAAAAGCAGCGAGGGATCGTGTGGATTTTGGGGACAGCAGGTGAATATTATTTTACGGGTTTAATATGGCAAAGCTATTTCGTGCGTCTGGATAATAAAATTACCTTTAACATATTAATACGTACTGCATTGTGGTTATTATATTTGATAAGAGTGATTCGTGCAAAATGTAATGTTATAAAATTATTTATAACCCTGGAATGAGTTGTTAAATATGTTTTTGAAATTTAACTGCGATTCATTCTCATACAAAAGAATATCCTACAAGGGGAGGAAGACTTTAACAGATATAGAAGTTAGAAAATTCTCTTTTTATATTTTCTAAACAACATTCAAATTAAATTTGGTATACGTCTTATCTGGATAGGTCGCTTTAAAATGTAATATCCGGTTCCTCAAACAAATTAATGGATGAGATATGAGCAGTCGTTTTAAATAATTACTAAAAAAGTAGTACGGTTCCCTTTCACGTAAAAATGATTAATTTATTAATGAGGACTTCAGTTTTAGATGAAAAAGGGGTTTTGATATTGTTTTATATTACAGTTTTACCACAAATTATTTTTTTTTTGGTGGAATATATCAAATTAATTTCTTGTTTTACCATTTTTTTTTGCAAATTTCTATTAGTTGACAAAATATAAAGAAATATATGTAATTTTTTTAATGTTGCTGTTTCAAAGATGGAAAATCTCTTCGAAAAACACTTTTTATTTTAAAAACCTCAATACTCATTATTGAGTTCAAAATTAAATCTGATTTACCCTGTATGAAAAGAGCGTATTTATATGATGATGATAATCATTTTCTTTGTTTCTAGTCTCTTTTTATATTCGGAATATATTTTTTCCCTGTTTAGATCACTCTTATAACAGCCGTTCGTGATATACTGAATTTGCTATATACTGGCATATATTCTATAAAATGGCGAACGCGCTGGGAGTAGTTCTGTATTTTGGTACGTTGAGCAACAATGTCTATTTTAGGCCTTTCTCGCATCTAATACCGCACCAGTTTGATCCCTGAGGTTTTAATAAAAATTTCTTTGCGTCAGCGCATGACCTTTCTCAATCTAAATGAAACAGTAAACACGGCAGTCCAGTTAAGTCTGTATGTACAAGGATTTTAAGTGTTCAAGGCCAGTTTCGTAGAAAATTGTGCATGTCTGGAAAGAAAAATAGTCATGTAATAGACAAGGTGCAAAACCATTACAAGGTACATTATATAGTTTGTAATATGAAGGTGATGGACAAATAAGACATGAAAGGGTTGATGGCGAAATTATTTGAACAATTTGTTCACTATTCCAAAAAAAAAGGTTATTATTTTATAAAATCACAACGTGGCAATTCCTGACACTGCGTTCTTCGTTTATGTTTTTTTTTTGTAACAGTGAGGGCTCTACCGGTTTCTTAAATCCGTTTAAATACAACTCAAAATCATATATTTATCATACATATAATTTGAATTTTTTTACTTATTGAACTTTTGTGTAACAAAAAATGTTACAGAATGATTTCCTCGCATCGAGATGACGTTTGATACGCAATATAAATTGTATTCCGTATTCCCCAAATTAAATGTGACAATAAATACTGGTAACGGGGGAAGATTTTAATGAGTTAGAAAGCGTATTTGACTAATTATTGTGATAATATGTGAGCAGGCTGTGTAAATATAAGGATAATATGCGGTATATCAATCAAAAAGTTAGATGGGGTAGTATTATCAAGGCAGATCATTTGATATCGCCATTAAAAACATATACAGGGTGATTGACCAGGTAATCGGAAGGCCCAATAAAGACAGAAAATTGAAAAAAAATACTCGGGATAAGCAAAAGATAAACAAATTACCCCTTAACTTGGAGCCCTACTTCGCAATAAGGAATGCGCTAGCCGGCGGAATACAATGCGTTCGTACGTTGAAGCGAAACAGCAGATTTCCCGTCTTAAATTTTGCAATTGGATTATAAATCAAAGTGCAGGGGGTCATCATTTTATTAACAAAGTCCTATGTTTTTATGAACAAATAAATAACACTTGTTAAAGTGTAAGAAAATATTTTATTCATTCATATGTCTAGCTAAAAAGCTTTGTTTACTAAAAACGCACTAACAACTAGGTTAATAACCGAATTTTTCAGCATAAATATGCTTTAATTTTTTTTTTTCATCGCGTATTCGTATTCTACTCATTTCCCCCTACTTTCCCTTAAAATTATTGACATGGCTGAATCACCCTGTATAACAAGAGTTACAAATTCTGTTGGTTACGAATATTGTACAATAATCATCTGCATCTTTTTCGAACCACCGAATGTTAAGACATTTGGGACAGAATTCATTCGAATTGAATTTCTAAACCCAAAATTCCTTACGAATTGTCATTTAATTTCATGAATTGAGAAAAGGACGACGGAATGACAACAAACAAACTTCCTTTTTGTCTTGTTTAGTTCGTTCGAAACAAACATTCAACATTTAATATAATTTCTATTTAATAATTTATAGTAGTTTGTTTTTTCACATATTTAATAAAATTATTGAGTTAATTATAACAATTAAGTGATCATTTAAATAATTTTTTTGCTCAGAAATCGTTAATTCTACGAAAAAATTGCAATAGACCTTTTTTGTTTAGAATGAATCAGGCTATTTGAAATGAATTTTTATATAATGATATTAATAAGAAAACAAGTTACGTATGAAACAAGTCTTAGGGGTGGTTTTTTCCACCCCTTACAAATGTAGGGGAAAATCAACAAATTTATTTACCGAGTGCCTTTTCGACAGCAGAAAACGTCTATTTAATTTAATTTCTGTCACTTTTTTGTATTTCAGAAAAAAATTAAAACCCACTTTTTTGGCACCCTCTTTAATCGGTTGTATCTTCACACAGATTTTCAAATGCATTTTTTTTATATGAAAGACCCACCTGATTTTTCGGCAGGGAATCAGCCCCTGAATTTTTTCGCACATATATTTACGCCCTGTATACAGGGTGTCCCAGGCCCTCAAATGTGAAAATAAAAAACTTATTTTTATATGCAGTCTCTAAACTATTCACATCAGCATGATGTGAATAGTTTTTTGGTGATCGGTAACACATGCGTACAACTTGTTTTTGATGTTGTAAGTGAAAATTCATTATGCCTAGAACGCCAGGGACGGACTATGCCCAATGGTTAAAAAGCCAGAATCTGCCAGTATCAAAAATAAGTTCCCTGAAGAATTTGCCAACAATAATACCCTCTTGATTTAACTCGGTAAAATTAACAGTTTAGGAAATATTTGTGATTTTATGTCACAGTGCACTTCGACCGTATAAAGTACAGGGACACCCTGTATAATTATAATTATGGAGAAATTATTTTTAAAAAAAATTTTGTTTTGAGAAGAATGTTATTTATAACTAGAATTTTGAAGAAAAAATGAATTACAATAAGCCAATTCCATATTCTCACCTTTAATTTGGAATTTTAACTGTTGAGTCTACTTTTCTACAAAAAGTCAATGTTCAGAATCTATTCAGTTTATATGGAAATTTCATTTGCTATATTCTACATATAAGCGAGGTGCACTAACTCGAAAGTCATTTTCTGTCGTATGAAAAATTTCGTCTTGTAAAATCTAAAAAAAAAATTGTTTCTACTACGTCAAAATTCATGCCCAACTCTCTACGAAGCCCAGCCTTGGGGGGACACCGAGCGGGCGGGGTATCTCGTACCTGGTTGAGACCACACGGTAGCAATGTCTAATTTAAAGCTGCCCAATAATTTGTTACCCCGGAGAATGTTCCGAGACTGCAACACCTGCCAGCGAAAAGAAAAAAAGAAAGTAGCGAGAAACGAATAGGGGAATCACTAAGGGCTCCAGCACTGTGCAGAAACAAACGTCCAAGTGCAGTGTTGTTTGAGAAGTAATGCTAGAACTGTTAGGCGGTACGTACTTGGTAGTGCTTCTATTTTCGGTTACTGTTTGGTTATTTATTTATTTATTCGTAACGGAGGAACAAGAATTAGAAAAATATTAAATATGAGCTGAAATAAATAAATAAAAACGAAAATATCGGACACGGCTTTAAGCCGTAACAATGTATCTTTATTGAAAATCAGGATAATTTATTTTCTTTCTTAAATTAAAGCTTATTAGAATAGAAAATAGCAGGATAGAAGTCCTCAACTTTCCCACAATTAATTACCTTTAATTGTTGATAAATTAGGACAAGTAATTTTTTATTTTTCTATTAACCTTTCTAACTCCAACATTAACTGGTTAGTTTCTGTTTACATTTTACGTGTAGCTAGCTACTATGAGAGAATTGTACCGTGTCAAGTTTGACATCTACTTCTACGATGATCATTCAGTGATTGATCAGAAACTTTGTGGTAATTAGTTTAAAAGCGTAACCGTTACTAAAATGAATTTTTAAGTAAGTAATTATAGCACTCATTTATAGTTCATAATTGTTTTTTTTCACGGCATACAATCAGTTTACGTTTCATTTAGTTGCAAATTCAAAGGTAAATGGTCCGCGGATTATTTGCAAACAATTCCATTTCATTCCATTCACTGCATGAATTCATTAATTGTCAACACACCATACACAAACAGCAATGAGGCTGTCATTTCGGTAATAACAGTTATGAATTGCAAACGGTATCCACGCTCTTAAAAAGGCTTTGTAATTGAGTTCTTTTCAGAAATAGATCTAGATTACAGAAAGGTGAACTTTCAGAAAACTTTAAATTAGATTTCGCAAAACCAGTTATGTTTTTTAGTACATACTATACTTATTAGGTACTTCTTAAACGAGTAATTTTAGTTCGATATTAAGTTGGTTTTCCCTTGTGGTGTTTCTATTGACAGAATTATTAGTTTGGTGACCGAAAATCTAATAACAGTTTTAAAAAAGTAAAAAAAAAAATTAAAGTATATCTAATAATTTCATTTCGTTTTTTGCAACTTTTAAGTTATTTTTATGAAACGAATTCATATTAACTTATATCTATCATAGCTATTTGGGTCAAATCTGGAGTGCTGACATGCCACCTTATTGCCACTTTTGTTGTGGTATAAATAAGTATAATAACTAAAAGAACTTCTTCCATAACTACATTTATTTGGGTCTAAAGGAATGGTAAATAATTGCGACCGTTTCTTGTATGAATAGGATCCAATACGCCTTGAAAAATGTTACACCATAGAAAACGTGGTTAGAAATATATCTTTGGCCTATCTAGTGTTAGTGTTATACCAGAAATGGCTATTAGGTATGTTTGATAAAAATGCCATTTTGTAAATCGACCGATCAGTCCATTGAATGTTATTTAAATGCTGATCGCTTCCTTGAAGCATTATTTGCATTTTTGAAATAAAATTCAGCTCGTGGTATATCACCAGGACGTAAATTACGTAAAAGATGTACTTGTCATCGACCCATTTTCTGGAAATTCCTTTTCCTGTTGTTCAGCTCAGGAAGTGTTTTATCATTTGGAATAGTGTTTTTACGATAGTTCTTTTTGTTAAAAGAACCGCAATGAAGCAAATTCATCGATAAAGACAAACAGTTTTAAGATCAGGATGTCGATGGTTTGACAAAAATATTCAGAGAGAAAATGATAATAGAGCATCATGGGGATCAAAGAATTTGAATACTTAAAAAATGTATTATCGAAAATGACAAAACTCGAGAAAAATATAATAGAGTAACTTAAATTGTACCTAGTTTGTACGTAAATTGTAACTAGTAAATAATTATCAGTATCACGTAAAATAATAATAAATACTCGTAGAGTATGTTTTGCTATTTGTAAAAAAAAAATTTATGAAGATAGTTTTGACTAACCGAAAATCTCTCACAGAAGAAAGCAGACAAATGGAAAATACAAAATATACGTCACTATATATCGCGCATCCCTACAAGTCGTTGAGGTTTCAAAAACCAACCTCATTTTACTTTTTTCGCAGGTGGTACAATAATCAAATAGAGACAAATCTAAAACTATGTCATAAATAAGCAGATAATATGCTGGAACATTATTTTTCAAAAATTTCAAATAAAATCATTTGTCGATTATTATACATACACGCTGTTGAAGTACTGCAAAGCACAAGGGAAAAAAGTAACAAAGAATTTATTTTACGCCAAGGAAATTTATCTGTTTCTCTCCGAATCACAAAATATAGGAAATGCCGATATAAAATCCAAACATAAAAACCAATTTCTTCCATTAGCCGAAAGTAATGGGTAATATAACTTAGGTATTTGCATCTCTAAATAATTTTCTTGTTTTATGCGTTCGGTATGTCTAAAAGCGGCAGGAAGAGACAAATGGAATACTCGCCTGAAAAACCAACAGGCTACAGTTATAATCTGTAAAACTTAAACCTACATTTAACCTTTTAGTTCCCAGTGAATGTTTTTGGAGTTTATTGGAGGTATTAAACGTAAAATTACCACAAAAGGACTTTTACGGGCATTTAAATTTATTTTGTGGAGCGGGAAAGTCCCTATTAGAAAGTTAATTTTCCCATTTAAAATAATTAACTGTTTAGTACATCAATTATCCTGTTAAAGGGATGTATTTTTTAACAGAAGGTAATGGAGTGTTAAGGGTAATAAACGACGTATCTACGACAATATTCCTTTATGTATTTTTTACAGCACATTTTAAAGTCTTTTGTATGTCTATAATTCATTATTAATATGATCTAACAATTAGCTTTTGTACGTCTTTAGTTTAAAAATATCAAACTATTTTTTTAATGTCAATTACTGTAAGAAATCTACAGTTCAAAGGTTACTTATCTATTTTTGCAAATCTGATAAACTAGGAATACGAAAACATAAAAATTCAATTTCTTAACATCGTCTACAGATTTATTTTTGAGCTACGTACTTATCTCTTGTATCTAAGTATGCGAAATTCAATTCGATAAGTAAAAGCTAATCCGAGTTGAAGGAAATTGCAAACAATTTAATGTCAAGGAAACATCTCAAAGGCACCCCTGAACATATTGTTTTGCGCTTTCAGGTTGCGGCAATTGTAGAAAAAACAACTTAATGCGACAGCATGGGACGCCTGAATTTGTTTTTATTTTCGTATAATGCACGTAAAAATAATAAACTATAGGGTAATACGTGTGTACGTTTTTTTTAGTGCTTAAATTTCAGAATAGTAAAACAGTCTCGTGGTATTAGCAAAGTAAAAGGCTCGACAAATATTGAATTTTACGTTGTACACATTATTTCATACTTTCAGTGTTGTAAATGTAGTGGCATGTGCGAATAATGTCAATAGCTTTTACAAAATGTTACGTAGGAATTAAAATGTGTAATAAATTGGAAATGCCGACGCTTGGATTGTAAATTGCAATGTTAATTTGTGATATGTGCATCGGAAAATAAAGGTAACCTTCGCTCTGCAGAGCATTTGAATTGCGAAACCTCAAGTTTTGTTATACCTACTCTAGTTTTCAGTTTAATTTCCCTTTTGGCGCGTATACGTTTCATTTTCACCGGGAGAGAGGATGGTCTCGTGTGACGAAGCTATAAAAATTGCATGCCGTTACCGGCAGTATGAAAGTGAGCTTTATATTAGCACATTCCGCTTTGAAGTTAATATTAGCAAAAGCGTCTTTATTCGCACAGATAAAGAAAATATAAAGTTATCGCAAGAGAAATCGTCAATAAAAAGAGCAGTTCGAATATTTTGCTACCTCTAAAAATTGATCCATTTTTGTAGATTTGGTTTATGTCTAAGCTAAAATCACATTGAAATAAACATTTTTGAGGTAATAATTTTTTTTTCTAAAAACCAAGTCAAAGGAAGTTGTAATCAAAAGTTCTTTCGAGGTCCAAATTTCTCAATTGGCTCTGGTTTTCGAGATATCCTAACCTAAAAGTACCAAAATCTCGATTTTTTGACGTATTTGAGATTATGTTACATGGATAAGTATTTTTTTTGCTAAAACCATTAATGGGGTCTTAAAGTACTATCCTTACTCTTTAAAACGCATTGGAATTTATCCCGATATCATTTTGGGTTTTTGAGAAATGGCATGTTAAAATTTAGTAGTTTGACTTATTTCTTGATTTTCGAATGCACAGGGTGATTCAAAATTTGGGAATAGATACCGTTTGAGATACGGTCAATATCTTACAATTTTTTTTGTAAAATCCTTATAGTTTCCTAGAAAAAAATTGAAGTTGAAGTACATTCAACCATTACATAGCTGGACAATTGTAGTCTCTAGCGTTATTCGCAATAGACGTAGAGAGCCACTTCGCTTTAGCTACTCCAAATACTGAAATCCGATTTTACAATCGACAATATGTGGTGTTTACAATAGTTTTTTAGTAGTTCGTGTCAGAAATGGCTTGCGTGTATAGCAACTCGGAGTTGTTGGATATCGTTTTAATTTATGATGAAGCAAGACAACATTTGTGTTAGTTCGTAGAAACTAAGGAAGTAGAAACTGAGTAAGACGGACCCAAATGTGTTTACACGTCGGTGGATAAAATTTTGAACAGGTGTCGTAACATTAGGTAATAAATAATTAATAATAACAATTTCGGCACTTTTAGGTTAGGATATCTCGATAACCAGAGCCAATTGAGAAATTTGGACCCAGGATTCGAATTCAGGGCACCAAAATCCTTTGGGAAAGTACATTCGTGTTGTTGGTTTAAAATTTTGTCGGCCTGTGTAATAAAAAAAAATGATAAACCTATTGAGTATTACAGGTAATAGGAAATGTTTTAAAATTGTGCCATTAACGATTTTATGAATTCTCATTTTTATTTTGCTAATAGAACCACTACCAAGTACCTGGAAAAAAGAGAAATAGGGAGACTGTTTAAAATATCATAGAAATATTCACTTCGCGTTCCAAATAACTATATTTTAAGCCTGTGGATCTAGAGATTCAGATAAGATCTAAGACCAGTATTCTTATCTTATATTTGGAACAAACTATATTTCTCTGTATGAAACTTCGTAATATACACATCTTAATATATTAATTGCTTCGTTTCTATGAACATTTTAAACAAAAATCTAATTTCAAAGGAGCTTAAAGACAAGTATTGATTGAAGAAAATACAGTGCTCTACCCGGTGCATCATAGACGGTCTTGACGTCTATCTTGAACGTGCCGACAACGGTTCCCGATCTTAACAGTTTCCTAGAATGTAATACCTAAAACACATACTTCCTACACGAACTTTTTCGCATTATCATTTTCAGATATAACCACTATACTTCAAGTCACGTGTCGTACAGCAAAGCCTTTCATGAGAAAATATGAGAGTAGAATATTATATTTTTGTGTTCTATATTGAGTTCCAAAGCTATCTAGAAGTATTTTATGAATATACAGGTGCTGACGAATCGTGAATACATCTTGAAAGACTTTTGTGATATCGTAAAAATCATGATATCTATCACCCTTCCTATTTGTTTCAAAAAGAGTTTTTATAAAAAGGTACTAATATTTTTAAGTATCGAGAGATAAAATGACACATAAACAGCACATTGAATACATTAAAATCTCAATTTTTGTTAGTACGGTCCTGACTTGCACTGATTAGTACTGACCACAGTTGATATCTCGGTGATATCGCATGTTGTATGATTATTATCAATACGTCTATAATTTTATCTAGAAGTATCGAATGGTTCAGAAAACAGTAATGAAAGACATATTATGGTGGTTTTAAACAAACTTTGGATCAATTAAACTTTATTATTCCGAGTACAAATAGTGTGTTGATTATGTTGTTTGGATTTTTGGCACCTCCCTGACTACGAATAGGATTATTTCGAAGACTGGTTTATTTTTCTGGCATGATTCCAACTTCAGTTACAGCAATATCGGATAGGGGGTATTGAATCAGGGAAAATAAAGAACTTAACATAAAATGAGCTAACCTAGAACCGCGATATGAGGAAAAATAACATCCTAGTAGTTGAGTTTTAAAAACAAGGGTATAATAAAATAAAATTAATTTTGTTTTATTGGCCATTGAAGAAGAGGAAAATATAAAAAAATTAATGATTATTGCTTAAAGCTTTAATTTCAATTGTTTGATTTAATTTAGTAGAATTTTTTATCAAATACATAATATCAAAACGTCTTTCGTCTTTTTAATATAACTACTGTATTATAAGACCAAATAAAGTAGATATTCTCGTGCAATTCCGTACAACATTGTTAAATTTGTATACGTTTAAGTACCTGCATATACAGTGTGTTATAGTTTATGAGATTCTAATATGTCGTTTAACAAATATTTAGAATAGAATATATAGCTGTATTAAAATTCAATCCATTTACCTGAACCATTCTACATACCAGAGCTATGTCATCAACAAATTGGATTAATTTTCACCTATTTCTGTTAAATACGTGTTGGTAAATGTTGTTTTATGTCATTTCTATATATAGACACTCACAAGTTAATGTAGTAATCATAAACGTGAAAGTTTTAATAAATTTTTTAAACCTAAATAAATTATTATGCATATCTGCAAAAGCAATGTGGAATAAAAGCCATAAGAATGTAAATTTCATTTCCAAATTCTCATGTTAATGGGAGATTTATGTAAATTTGTATTTCTTACTGAAAGAAAAGTTATGTTTTAATGTTGGTTTGTAATAACTACATGTTTCAAAAGCATTTACAAGTATTTGACTTTTGTAAATCTTTACGTATAAGCGCTGAAGTATTTGAACTGTGTGACAGAATACTTGCTTTGTAATTTTCTTCAGTTCAATGATATGGCACAAAAAAATTAAAAGGAAAATTAAGCACGATAATTAATTAGATTGTTGATCAAGGAAAAAAAAATATAAACATCCAAAAAATAAGTGACATTGAAGTCATCAAAAATTATAAATATTATTTTTTTAACTATTTATTGTTATTTATTTAGATTTTCATATTGACACGGAAAAAAATGTATCATAAAGCTTTGCTGCTACGACAGTGACTTGTGTGGTTATCGATCAAGACCTACTCAGACTGACCTAATCTATAATCAATACAAATTATTTCAAGAACTTAATCGTCAATATCATTAATAAAACATTTTCTGTAATGGACACATCATTAATTTACCATTAAGGAACTGTCATAACTTACCGATAAATGGATGATTTTGTCGAACAGCATTATTGGTGGCATGTGGAAGTCGAACACGAAATACTGTAAGAAAACGATAATGTCATTAACATAATAAAATCCTTTCCCCGATAATGAAGTCTGCTCTTTGTTATATTTATACGGGGCTACTTTTGGCATTTAGAAACACGTATAAGATTGTTTTCTCAAGTTCAGTTGTGAAAACCGACATTTTTAAAATGTTTTCGTAATTTTCATACCTCGCCGCTGGACTTTTAACATAAGAAGTGCATATTTAGAATCCAGTTCATATTACTCGCACATTTGAAATTTTTTTTCCAATAGTAACTTTTAAAAGTATTCGTATTAGCATGGCACTCTGCTAAACAGAGGTCAATATCAACATACTTCTTAGAAATAGTCTTTAATTTGTCATAAATTTCTTATTAGAAATATAAAACTAGATTACCTCGTTGTAGTAGGGGCAGTTGGTGCTCTCCTTGACGCTGGTGTACTTCTTCTGGTCTCCCACTTGGATGCAAACGACGGGGTCCATGTTGAGACCTGCCAGTTGCCGCGCTTCAATTATAGTAAGGCACACTTGAAAATCCTGTGCTTTCAGCGCAGATTCGACGATGGTACTCTTCAGGTCGGCTTTCAGTCTGCAAAGGAATGAAACCGGTGTTCAATAGCCTGCAGAATCAGTCAGAGCATTGTTTGTTTACTACGACATATTTTTAACAAGCGGATTTGTGCCCTATATTAAAACATTTTATTTTCAACGAGACATTGTGTAACGGATTTAGTTGAGCCATGTTGTAATGAAAACTGTGTTGTATTTGAAATAAAATATAAGCCGCTATTGTAAATACTTCTTTCTGACGCTACTACTCTGAATAGCCTGACGCGCTATAATGATACACTCGACGCGTCGCCGTCGCCACCGTTCTGAATGGACCTTTAGCATTCGCGATTACATGACTTTCATAATAGGCTTACAGCGGTAAATTTAGGATACCGGATATTCCTAAAAGAAGCCAGCATGTTTAATAATTCACAAGATTAATGTACAGAGCTTTTAAGCACTAAAACGTGTGGGGCAGATTCAAGAATAGTATATTTTGCAAGAGATGAAAAGGTAGTTTTGTTTCTTGAGTGGAATAAGTTCACTAACAACCAACAACAACTAAGAAGGAAGAATATTTTGTTTTGAGCTGTTTTGCTATATTACATAATTTTATGTTCAACGTAATTAAAAATGAATTAATATCTCGATCCCTCATACTAATCACATTTATGCATTTTTGACTCATTGAAATATTAATTTAAAACAATCACAAACTCAGTAGTTCCATTTTTCTTTTTAGAGAGAAAAAAACATCACGGTCGTATAGGTTTAGCCTTGAAAAAATCCTTATAAATGAGAAGAAAATTATTATTTTATGTACCCAGACTAAAAGGTTGTATTTTTATGGACGAGCTGACGAGGCTATAAAAATGCAGGTTTTGTTGCATATTTAATTTTTCCGTACACCCCACCATAAAATGCAGTTTTACGAACTCATTTCCGGACCAGAAACTACGTTTTAGATGTAATATGCACCTAAAACGTGTAATTTTGAAAACACTGGCGACTGTTGGTTACTATTTTACAGGGTGATTCACAACTTATCCAAAAAATGGAATAGATGCGGGACGAAAAATGGAGTCAAATCGCAAAAGTTTTTATAAAATCCTTTTCGAGAAAAAATTTATTAAAAGTGTAGTGCTTTCCACCATTACATCGCAAGACAACTGTAGTCTGTAGAGTCATTCGCGTTGTGCGCTTGACTCCGAATACTGAAATCCGATTTTACAATTAGTATTAACGTTATTGCGATAGTATTTACAATAGTTTTTTTAGTAGTTAGTGTCGATGAAATATTAATATGCACCTTGGCAAAACCTGCATTTTTACGGCCATGCCAGCTTGTTGTATTATACTCGTGATAGTAGATTCGTCCATAAAAGTGCAACGTTTTGGCCTGGTTATATTTCTGTTGATCTTTATAATTTGATATCGGTTCGTTAATCGATGTTTTCGATTTAGCGTTACTTTTTGGATGTCGTATTATTCACGTCCGCCAATAGCCGCTCATGTTTTCATGGTGAGTTTTAGGTCCAAGATAATTAAAAAGTGACAATTGTCAACCGGAAAGACCATATCTTTACTTTTTTACTATAAGAAAAATGTAATTGTCACTTATTATGTTTGCTGATGTTTAATATAGATAATTCAGAATTGGGGACGAATAAGCCCTGGTGGATTGTGTATGTTGAAAATGTTGTTTTCAAAAGTAGAAAGTTAAGAGGAACGACAATTATTAAAGCCAGAAACGTAATTTGCAAAATGAACGCGTAACATGAAGTCTGTTTGTACAATGGATTTATCGATATTAAACAGTAAATGAAGATTAAAAAACAATGTCGAATTACACCGAATTGCAGGAATGTTTGAAGAAGTAGCAAATTTGACGAGAAATTTTATAAAAATATGCTGCAATGTTTTAATTTAGAATATGTCGAAATAAAACTTCTTTCTCATTTAAACACAAAATTGTCAATTAGTTGCTGTACTTCATTTTTAATTAAAAATGTATTTCATAAAAGGCTTTTCTTGTTTTTTGTTAAAGAAGTTGTAATATTTCATAATGTATGGGACATTATTTGTCAAAAGGACAATCAATTATGGGAATTTCGTTTTAATGGGGACTGTTTGTTTTTACCAAAAGAAGTACAGGCAGTTAATAGCAACATATAATACCTAATTTAAAAAGGTATGTTAATTGCATCTGCAACAATGCAAATAAGTTTATATATTTTATTATATCCAACAAGTATATTTTCAAAACTAAAAAATGAAAGAAAAATTAAAAAAGCGCACATTTAAAGAAATATTGTCCTAATATTGCACCTTATGCATCTCTAAGTATCCCTTCGAAAAATGTGCCACTCTTATTTAATAAGAATAGGATCTGAATATGTGAATCTCCAAAGAAATCCATTCGTTTTAAGTTAGGAAACCTTGCTGGTAATTCCATAAAACTCGTCATTCCAAATTACTTTTTAGGGAACTTTCCCTACTAGAATCGTTTTCCATTAACGCACAGTTACAGTACACGCACAATACATACACATTTAAAATTTTTAGGGTGAGAAATTGTCGTGCTTGAGGCACTAAGTGGCACGAAAAAAGTACCAACGTATCCAACGACGTTTTTCATTATATTTTCAGTGTTTAACAAATGTAAATTTTCGTTAATTAGACGTAGTAATTAAAATTGTTCACGAAAGGTATTTCATAAAGAACGGTTAATTAATTTAAATCGATCACAGTAACTGCCATATATAGACGAGTTGATTGAAATAACTCAGTATAACCTCATCTATATTAACGGTCATTAAATGAATAAAATTATTACCGCATTAATAAATTTGTAAGGTGGTCCAGAATTAATGTATAATGAGATCACAATTTAATTTATGAAGTGTTATTGGTATAGTAAATACTTAATTATATTAATGTACAGCAACTACTAACAGTTCTAATTACATTTGGTACCTACAGCTCACAAAGCAACCATATCACAGTATCAAAGCAGTAAGCTACTGCGTGTTCCAGTTGCAGGGAAGTTAGCTTTGCGTTTTCAAAACACAACTCCGGTCAAACTTCACCTAAATTAATCTGGCGCCAATTTAAATTACGACTCCGAGGCAATTTTAGGAACATTCATAATGAAACGGTGATCACAGTCCTTATTAAGTGAGAAATAATTTGGTTATATTTAAGTTAGCTTATTTCGCCGTACACTGGGCGTATCTAAAATCCTTAGCCAAATTGTAATAGTGAATTTTACGTCTCAAATTTACCTCCGAAAAGACATATCTGTATGTAAAACAACTGTGATAACCAGAAACTAAAGCTCTCTATCAAATTTGAATGAAGTCGCTTCAACCGTTTTTTTGTACATAAGAAATTCGATTTTTTTTAACTTTACGTATCTCACAAAACGAAACCTTTCCTGACACTGATTTATAGAATCTGTCATTAAAGTTTGGCCAAGTATTTTAAAGAATTTTGTTGAATATTTTGCAGTCTCTGTTACATTTCACTGTGTTGACAATTTTATAAAGTTCGAGCAAATCATGTTTCATTTTTAATGAATGACTGTGGTTTGACAATAATCTATTCAAATGCTATTTAGGGTTTCTGAATAGAAATTAATACAAAGCGTTATCGCTAGTTTCTAAAGATACTAGGTCAGTGGGTTGTTGAAATTTAATATTTGGTTTTACAATGTTTTGCCTACACATGTAGACTAAGTTTTGTCGCAGAAAATGTGTTTCTATATAAAACCTACCTTTGTACTCATTTGTACCCTAATCCCATTCAACTTGAAAAATTATACAGGGTGTATCACGAAGCGGGCCCAGTAGGATTATCTCAAGAATTGAAATCTGAGAGAAAGTTGATACTATTTTCATTGAATAGATCTTTTTCATAAATCTCTGTATACAAATTTTCAGATTTCAATTTTGACTACTTTTTGAGATAATCATACTGGCCCCTCTTCGTGATACACCCTGTATATAGAGATTATTCACGTTCTTGATGTACTAGAGGAATATTGTGATAAACTTTGTTTAAATAATTACCACTGACATATTGTAACAATGCGACAGACGAAAGAATAAATAGACCAGGCTGGATCTATTTCAAAACACCCATCATCCATGTATATATAGTATCGCTATATTTTGTTTTAATGGCTCTAAAATGATATAACAAAACATAATTTCACTATGCGCGCGCTTCAAAACGTGTGCTAAACTTATTATTAAACAAACAGTGAAAAAATTGGAAAAAATTCCATTTTTTTCTCTTTTTTTCAGTACAGTTCAAAAACTATTCATTTTAGAGAAAAATTGAAAAGGAAAAAAGATTCGTAATTAAATTTTAGACATGATATACCTATTTTCAAATAAAAATACAACATAATTATTGCAAATATAGCAAAAACAAAAAAGTGAAGAAAATTACAAACTTTTTGCGATATTTTTAAAAGTACTTATATTATAGGTAGGAAAAAAATCTTTTTTGATATAATAAAACATCACACCAATTTTCGTTAAAATCGGTCCGATAGTTTTCGAGTAATAATTTTGCAATCCAGATTTTTGAAACTTCAACTTTGATCGACTATAATTCTGGAACCAATTAACGAATAACCACGTTTTTTTTTTAAAGAAGCGTCTTTCCAAGTACTTTAAAAGCATAATTAAAAAAAAAATAATTATAATGAATTTATAAAGTTATTCTATTTGTTTATAAGCGCAAAAATTACGCATATCTTTAAACAATTACCAACGCTCTTCTAATTAACGGATTTCAATTTTTCTGGACGCATTTTAAAGTTTGAATGCCCTTTTTGTGTGATAAAATTTTCAAGTATCTAGAAGTCTTAATATAGGCTCAGTTAAATTCGCAAAAATTTCAATTTAAAAAGAAATTTGGATTGCAAAATTATTACTCGAAAACTATAGGACCGACTTTAACGAAAATTGGTGTGATGTTTTATTATATCAGAAAGATTTTTTTGGCTAAGCATGAAGATCTTACCCTCGATCCTACTTATAATATAAGTACTTTTAAAAAAATAGCAAAAATATTGTAATTTTTTCACTTTTTTTTTTTTGTTTTTGCTATATTTGCAATTATGTTGTATTTTTTAAATTGAAAATAGGTATGTGTAAAATTTAATTACAAACCTGTTTTCCTTTTCAATTGTTCTCTAAAATGAATAGTTTTTGAACTGTGTTGAAAAAGAGAGAAAAAAAATGGAATTTCTTCCAATTTCTTTCACTATTTGTTTTATAATAACTTAGTAGTGAATTTATGTTTTGTTATATCATTTTGTAGCCATTAAAGCAAACACTAGCGAGACTATATAAAACATCTACACCAAAACAGATCCCGCCTGGTCTAAAGAGGGAATTCTTCAGACAAGCTAATTACGGGGTACTTACCTAGATGCTCGCCGGTTTTTTTCCACCATGGAAGCGGACATGTAACATTCACCGTTAGAACTAATCGAACTCTGGCTGCCCGCCCTCGATAAGGGAGCCGAATCAAAATCGGAAGTTCTAGAGTCTCTTCCTGACTCGTGGATGAGGGACGCGTTCTCCTCGTCGTTATCGCTGTCTTTCGGCGGTCTTTGTTTGCCGAATCTGAAACAAACATAATGCTATGGGGCTAATTCAGAATCTTTGCTGGCCCTTTGACGAATTAAAAGTATAAACATTTGTTTTTATTGCTAATCCAATTATAACGACCTTGAGGAGGGTGCCGTAATGGGCTTATTCGACAAATTGCACAAATTAATGAATAATGTATTGCTTCACCAAAAATTGAAACAGTATCTATTAATTCCACATTTTCAGGCATATACTTCAGGCCTCTTGAACTCTTGTAAGACAATAAATAAGCAAAGACATTTTAATAAACAAGGTATAACGACTTGAAACGTTTTGTTTTTTTTTTCGTAAGATTAAATATTTTATTGTGCTTTTGGTACATATCCCCAGATTCCTGGATAATCACTTTGCATAGGGCATTGTTATAAATTCGCTTACAACTAGAGGTATACATCTAAGACAAACCTCATAAGACTCTTCATGCTCCTCAAAGTGGACCGCCTCTTGTCTTGACTTGTGGACTTATCGGAGGTGGCGACGGTGCTGGCTCTTTTCATGGTCCTCCCCCGTTTGTCCGATGCCGAAGAAATGGTCCCGTGAGGACCTGCCGCTAGGCTGCGTTCGATATTGGCAATGTTCTGCTCTATGTCTATCAGCATCTGCTGGTCATCTTCTAGCATGTGAAAGTCGGATCCCGTGAACGATGCTATGGACTCGTCTGGGAGGGTGTAGAGGACGTCGAACTCTACGTGAGCCTGAAACAAAAATGCGTGTTACTTTCTTTATTGTCCCAGCGTTAACACAGCTCCACACAAAAAAAAAGTGGGAGGTCCGAAAGAGAAGATCATGGAATGTATATGTTTTTGGGGTCGCTGAATCCGAATCCGGAGTTCGTTTGACCCGATTAGCTCTGGGTTAAGGTCAGTTCAAGGTCAAATCAAAAAGTAAACCAATACATCCATACGTTTAATGGTTTAAGCCTTACTTAATTAGGCTTATTGATACTAAAATTTTGTCATGTCATTATAATTAACTTGAGAGTATTTAGCAGATTTGATCGGGTCAAACGGACCCCGGAATCGGATTCAGCAGCCCCAAAAACGTATAGATATATGGTTTACTTTATTGGCAATTGATTTTCTACATTTGACCTTGAACTGACCTTAACCCGGACTTAATTGGGTCAAACTGACACCGGATTCGGATTCAGCGACACTAAAATATATGTAAGTTTACTTTGTTGGCAATGAATTCCTTATAGTTGACCTAGAACTGACCTTAATCCAGAGCTAAGCGAGTCAAACGGACACCGCATTCGGAATCAGCGACCCCAAAAACATGTCCTAGATTAACTAATAAGTATTATAACTAATATTACTAATAAGTTTTTCGTGGAAATTTTAAAACAGTCTCAATAGGTTCTTAAAAATTTATAGTGAAAAATATCTACAACCTTGCATTGTCGATATTACGTAAGAAACAGGTTCTTTTATTATCTTTATGGTGTTATCTACATCTACTCTTTTGTCTTTTGTTCGCAGTTTACTTCCATTTCTATCTATTTATTCAACAAATATCGTACGGACTATACTTTCAATTGGATACAATTCAGTACTTCTGACTCTTATTTAATTTCTTTTTTCATATTTTCCGTCTGTTTTATTATTAATATTTCTCGTGATGCCGATGCCTGTTAAAAGTATAGCGTTGAAGTGAAATAAACTATAATTAACTGTAATAATTATACAGGCAGCGAAAATATTGTAATTCATAAAATTAAATTTCTACAGCATTTTGAGGCAAACGTACATTCAAGATATTATTAATTACTAATTCTCGTGCTATTTTTGCATGCCAAGGTCGACTCGTCGTACTAGGGGTCACGTCAAATTATGCTCTATTATATTATTATCGCATTTCACACGTATTATATTTTATTTCTTATTTTATTCCAAACGTAGCCCTCTGAACATAAATTCGAGGTGTTTTTTTTATATGTATGTACTTATTTAGTATAAAATTTCTAGTACATACGTCAATAAATATTTATATAAAACTACGAGGAGTACTATAAAACTATCGAATGATTAGCGTCCAGATTGTTGTACAGTTTTCGGAATATTTCAGATTCTTTCATAATTTTTTTTTAACTCTAAATTACTTTCCAAAATAAATTGCTGTACTTACGGGCAGTGGCTGATTATTGGGATCTAGGAGGCTGTCGGAAATTGAAAGTCTTCCATCTCTTACGACCTTCTGAAGCACCAGTCGATAGAAGCCGATCAATTTATCAGAAAACAGTCGATTTCTAGAGTATAGTTCAATGAGCAGTAACTCGTTCTCTTCTACAGGTCTGGCGACTGGCCAGTCGAATCTCTAAAATAAAAAAAATCCGTTTTAAAATGCACTTATTAACAGTTGTTTCATGAATGCTGCTATTTAAACCAATACAAGTGATACAATTAGAAAGTATACCTACGTTTAAAATGTTAAATACATGGATACTTAAAATTTACACCAATGGCAGAGTAAAAAATAAATAACCTAAGTATACAGGGTGTTCATATAAATGTAGGTCGAAATATGCTTCGTTCCCGAGATACAGAGTGCTTAAATTTTAAATTTTTATTAATTATTTCAGGGTTTTAAAGATATTGACTCGAAATTTGATGGTTGTATTTTATTTAGAAATATTGACAGCAACCTACTAGATAATGTGCCAAGAGAAATTAAAAATACACAACTTGCAATAAAATATGTTTTATTTTTTCCTCAAAAACGGTGCTTCCTACGAAAAAAATTACCAATTTCATTAATAATTAATGGCGGATTTCTAAAAAAATATCAAAACGGAAAAAGTCAGTAGCGTACCATTTTTTTTTTATTAAAAAATGTGGAATTCCCGCACGAACGTCACTGGTGCAAGTAGAAATATTCGGATCAACCCAAAAAATGCCGTTTAATTTAATAAAAATAAATAAAAAATTAAAATTTAAACACTGTATCTTGGAAAAGAAGCATATTTCGACCTAAGGTTATATGAACCTTTTTTCTCAAAATAACTTCCTCCTAAAATATTTACGAGCACCCTGTATACCTCAGTGCCTTTAAAGTATATAATGGATTAAGATCCATGTAATGCGAATGTAATTTTTTAAATTTTACACCATTTATTGCGAAAAAACGCCCTGTATAAAGAATTTGCATCTAAAATATGCTCTTCGGAAGGACAGCTAGATGTCGATAGACTATTTGGGGTCATAAATATAAACAGTGTTATTTGGGTAATGATCTGATTAATTTTTTGAAATAAAAATTTTGATCCTGACAACGAAATTTTAACTAAAATGACATAAAAATGTTTTATATGTAATTTTGAACTCAAAGAAATGACATAATTTGTTGCGTATCCAATAAAATGTCGCTAACGCTAATCGAAAATTAACTATAACAGTGTGATCTTACGACTTGGGTAAATTTTTATAATTATTATGTAAAAAAATATATAATAAAGTAATGATAATGAATAATATCTGAATATAACTATTATGGACATTGTTACTATTGTGTTACAAGTTACAAATCCTGACAACAAAAATTTTATTATAAAAATATTCTATATGTATAAAGACGTTTCCTATGAGAGTTCTGTTAATTTTTTATATTTTCTATTAACAAACTGAACTGTTTGTTGAAAACAAAACACGGCAACTTTGCTCTTCATCTAGCAAAAATTCAAACCATGAAATTACAGTTTAGAATATATAAAGAAGAGAGCGTGGAGTTTGATTGATTTTAAATATTCAAAACTTTTCGTTGGCAATTTTCAAACGAAAAAACAATAGAATTAAACTCGGCAAAAAATTAATCAAATAAACTGCGTATCTCAGGTATTTGTATTAACTGTTGATTTTTAATATGGTAGAAAATTTCCTTGCTTTGATTCTAAAATGTGGGAGAGAGAGCGAATGAAAGAGAATTTAATTTTTTTGTTACAGTTTTTGTCAAACAAAAAAGTTGTAGCAAAAATAACTTATGCTTATTTCAACACAATTTTTGAAAAATTGTAGAAATTTGACAATTATACCTTTGGTTTTCAAATTAGAGCCGTTATTCCTTATTTTTTTTGAAAACATTGAGAGGCTGTATCTCTTAAGGGGCGAACATTTTACTAAAGTAATTTTTATCCAAACCTGTTCTTTTTAGCTTTATATTCACCGGTACCATTTGTGCTACTTCTTTTTGAAATATTCTCTGTGTATTCTGTATATTCTCTGTTATTTCGTCATTTCGCTTCCCCTATTTCACTCATCCTATTGTTGCCATGAAATTATAGAAGAAAAACAATCTTGATGTCACAACAACCTAGTTAAATTTCAGTAAAATAACTATTGAGGCAGGTAAATAAGATCTCTTCTTATCCCTTTCTAAAATATCTTCTTGGAATTTAAAGATACTTATTAATTATTTTATTGTTTTGTACCTGTTTGGAAAGTATCAGGTACCCAGCAGATATATAAAAGTTAGTCAGTTAATATTTACATTTTATTTAATTTAGTTTTATATGAACGTTTCTAACAGAAAGTGATGTGTGTCCCAACTAAAAGTTTTGTGCTTATATGGAACATCTTTTTATAAAATTGTAGTAATGAAACGTATTCAAATTCAGTTACAAATAAATAAGAAATAAAACTGGTGATAATATTTACTATTTTATTAACATAATATTAAACATCTTGTTTTTAATTAAATATAATTATCACTAAAATATAAATTATTAAATAAATTTAATTTGTAAACCACGGATCAACCTAGGCATATTCCTTTCCGCTATTTTTCCGTACCTGATTGTTGTTTCTTCAGGAACTTCCTCAAGGTTTCTTCACTGCACTCCGTCGCACTGATAATTCCGTCCTTAATTAATTTTTCATGTAACACCCTCACAGAAGGCATCGTTTTTTCACTGTAGACTTTCCTGATGGTATCCCGGATCAGCCGGGCGCGTTCGTCGTTCAAAGTTTTGAACTGTCCTTTATCCTTGCGGGTTTTCCTTTCTTTCACGCCGTTGGTAACGAGCCGCCAAACCGTCGTGTGCGGAACATTCGTTTCAACCGTGGTTTTTTCTATTGCCCCTTTTTCACCAAATTCTTTCCTGATCTTGAAGTAGACGTCCAATACGTGCTTTTTGCCGTCCACGTCCAAAAACCGGTGGGAACGTTTCGATACTGCATTTTTTTCAGTCCGTTGAGAACACTGTGCGGTGATCGCATCCGAAGAATTGTCGCTTTCGTTCGATTTCTCTTCTTGCGAATTCCCTGAACAGACCTTTTTCTCGTTATGATTTTTTTCTTCTACTGAGTTGTCGTTTTTGTCACATTCTAATGTTTCCTCGTCCTCCCAAGGCCGCCACATTATTCGATTCAAAATAAAATGTTTGAATCTAAAATTATTTCCGGTACTGTTGGTGTGAAACTGGATTAATTTTCGTTATAGTATTTCATTCTTAAATATCAGATAAATGTCTATAAACTTCTAATTAATAGATACATAAATAGATCATTGATATGTGATTATGAAGGACATACTACCTGCCGTTGTGGTTTTCTTGGAAAGGTTCTTTGAGGTTTTCTTTTGAAAATAATTTGGAAATTATGTTTATTAAAATAACACACAGATAGATCCACAGTTTTTCGTCATTCTGATCATCTCCTTGCGCAACGTCTTTTAGTTTTTTTATTGCCCGTCAAAAAAATCTAGTTAATTTATGATTTATGATTTTCAATTTAGAGCAGGGCGGATCTGTTTTGAGGTGGATGTGAGAGGGGGCAAGCAAGTTTTTTCTGGATTACCTTCAGTACAACTCATATAATCAAAGTGTAGATCCCTAGATCTAGACGAGGTCCGGAATATTTTCAAAATTGCAAAAATTTTTAAAAAATTTTGAAAAGTACCTATTTTATCTGAGTTTTTTACTTATATCTTGGAACCTATGCATTTTGGAAGAATACTGAAGAGGAAAAAAAGTTTTAGAATTGAATTTTGCAGAATATACTGTAAGTTAAAAATGTTTAAATTTATTACCGATGTTGCAAAATAGCAATAATTGATGAAAAATAGGCAAAATAATCAGGTTTTTTGGATAACTTTTTAAAAATATTTTAATTGCTCCGAGGGCATTCTAATTTTGGTAAAAAAAACTTTAGAGTATAGTAAAATAATACACCAAATTTCATTAAAATAGGTTCGATAGTTTTCGCAAAATATTTTTTGAAAAAAAATTTCGAAATTTCAAAATGTTGCATAGCCTCAAATAAAGCATCTACATACTTGAAAATTTTTTCACATAGAAAAGACCGCTCAACCTTTTCAACAGTAAATTTTTAAAGTTAATACCCTTTTTTTATTCTTAAACAATTCAAAAATTATAATTTTAAAGTACTATTTTTTTCTTAATTTTATCTGTATTTAACAAAATAATTAATTTCCAAAATTTTTTTTTTAACTTGTTTAAACAGAAATTATTTAAATAATTGTAATAAATATAACTAAATACATTCATATTCAGAGTGTTGAAATATATACGTAAACAATTTGATTCATTGAAAAAATGCAATAGCATAGGGTAAAATATACAGTAGGTATATTTAATGCATAAATAATAAACTTTGTTTATAACAAAATATGTGCAAATTAGACAGTTGGTATTACGATATTCGAATTCCTTGGCTCGCGAGACATCGGATTAAAAAAAAGTTCGAAATTGGTCCATTAGAAGCCGAGATAATGCAATTTTTTTCGTACCTTCGCATTTTTAACCTCCGAATTCAGTTTCGGAGCGAAAGCCCCCTCCCCCACTTTTCGTGTTTTGAGTCACTTTTCGCGCGTTCGAGCGACAGCTTTCCACTGATTTATCCGTGTTGCCGATAACTTATGGATATGAAAATTTTTTCCAGCTTAGAACTCGGAAAAACGAAGCCACTGGATCAAAGATTATTGCTAAATTGTTTATAAATTAACGGTAAATGCCGATAAACTTTGATCGCTTATATCTGGAGAACCAATGAACTGAATTTAACTTTTTTTAAAAAAGAAGCGCCTTTCCGAGTACTTTAAAATTATAATTTTTGAAAAAAACTAAATTGCAAATTGATAAATGTAATCTAATTGTTTTAAAAAAAATGTGTTAACTTTAAAAATTTACTGTGGCCATCCTAATCAACCGATTTCAATTTTTCAAAAACCATTTGAAAGGTTGAGCGGTCTTTTCTATGTGAAAAAATTTTCAAATATCTAGATGCTTTATTTGAGGCTGTGCAACATTTTGAAAATTCAAAATTTGTTTTCAATCTTTTTCAAAAAATTATTTTGCGAAAACTATCAAAACGATTTTAATGAAATTTGGTTTGTTGTTTTATTATACTCTAAAGTTTTTTTTACCAAAATTAGAATGCTCTCGGCGCCTTTTTTTCATCAATTATTGCAATTTTGCAACAACGTCAATAAATTTAAACATTTTTAACTTAAAGTATATTCTTGCATCTTCATAAATATAATATGCAGAAATTTCGTCCAAATTATCCGCCTTGGAATGGGGTCACTGAATATGTTCGTAACTTCATCTTTTTCTGTAACATTTTCTGTTTTTAACCAGGGCCTTCACATGATTAAATAATGCACTGCAGACACCTAACTGATTTATTATCGACGCCTTTATAGGAGTATAATATTTATCTTTGCACCTTTCTACCTCTCGCAGGTTTTTAAGTCCGTGGTTATTGTTTGTCTTAAGTCTTAGAAGATTAAGCGCTTATGTTAATTAGGTAATGTTGCATTTGGAAAAATTAGGATTTAACAACTACAGATCTAAATATAATCCTATAGTAATAAGAATATTTGGAAAAGCGTTTGACATAGCGATGACCTACATATTACATCAAAATACTAATAACATTTAAGAAACAGAATAAACTAGAATGATTTTTTTTAGCAAGTCAAGGAAAATACGTGTTATCTAATATATGTCCACTTATAAACGATGCGACAATTATCAATTCATTTGTTAGTGTAATTTATGTCTTTGTTTTTTTATTTGTATTCGTTAATAAAAAGTAACTTACTTGATCTACAACCAGTATTTCACAGCTATCGTCACCCAGGATCTTCGTCAAATGGGAAACTCCTGTAAAAAAATATCACATTAGGTACTATGCCAACAGGTGAATACCAAAATTATTGCCAATTTTCATGACAAACGTATAGCTTGATTAAACTCATCTTGTTGCGAGATATGCAGATCAGGAAGAGAGTCCGCAATAGGACTGAGAAAGACAGGAGAACTTAATGGTAGGTTCAGACAGGGAATAAGCACCGGTGCTAATCTGGTATTGTTGCCACTGCGCTTCTGGTTAATGGTAATAATAAGGTTAATGTAATAATAAATGACTCTGATTATTATCTACTGTTACTATATAAGTAATTTATACATTAACTTTTTAACAATTTATAATTACTGTGGTTAATTATAATTATTATTTGATATAAATAATAACCTTATTGACCTGTAAACAAATACCTGAAACAGTTGTTTTACTAATAGTTGCTAAAATTAAAAATACCAAGTTAAATACATCATATTAAAGCTGTACTACAAAGCTTTCATGTTTTGTAGCAAGCACATCCAGTTTAATATAACATTCGATATTTAAGCAGACCTATCAATTTCAAATTAATTATTGAAAATCGATGATTGGTTCTAACCCATTGGAATATCCGGAATATCTAGCACATAATTAGTAAGGCAAACACAAATGACACAAATAAATAGTTACAGGGCAATATCTTACCTAATTTATTAAATATAGAAGTACGGAAGTACACGTTTCAAATTACAAAAAGAAAATAGATTTTTCCATTTTCCAAATATGTTTAAGAAATACTTTTCAATTTCATATACTACAGCGTAAAACCAGACCATAGTGTTTTGAGTGTGGTTTTCGACAATCCAACAAGCAACCAAATTATATACCTTTATTTCATCGCCAATGATTATCCTCCAGACAAATTGTGCTGCCATTTTATTCCAGACGTATTTGTGTCAAGCCGGTCTATTTGATAACATTTAATTAAATGGTACCGACAAAACTAATTTGCTTGTTGTGCCTTTAGTATTTTGTAATCTGTCAGGGTTTTAGAGAGAGTAAATTAACGGTAACGAGACACGTCGAATTTTGTGTTCTTATCATCATGCAGCCCAGAAGTAAGTTTTTGTGGGAAGCTTTTGGAAAGAAAACATCACAGTTTTGACAGTCTATTACAAATTATATCAATCAATGATATAATTTTTTTTGCCGAGTAAAAAATTCTAATAATTTCCCTTTCTGTAACTTTTATTTTGGTAATCAAAACATGAGTTGAAGTTTTCAGAGTCTCAGCGTTGTTTAGATAGTGTCAAAACTAAGAGATCAGTAAGGCAAACATTGTGAAAGTATAAAGTAATATTAAAAATGCTCGTAAAGTACAAGAGTCGATCGGTTAGATTCAGATTAAGATTAAATTTAATAAAGAAATACATCTTATTAGCTGAGTAGAGTCTAAACCATTGTTTAATATACAGGGTGTCTGATAATTTGTGTCCAATAATTTACCATTCGATTCTATTACCAAAAATAAGAATATTTTTTCATATAAACATGGGTCGACAAATGCTTCCTAAAGGAGCTACGCCCCCCTAAATGGGGCCTGAAAAAAATTCATTGTTTTTTAATATTTCCTAAATGAACAAAAATTATGAATTTTGACATCGTGAACGCTCATTAAAAGTCAAAATAGATCATCATAAAATTTTTCAAAAATTTTAATCAGGGGCGTCTCAATTTGGGGGGTAGTCGGCTAAAAGTTGACCCAATTTTTCTGCTTGTCGAAATTTTCAAATTCAGATGCCAATATATGATAGACCTTCATTTCCTTTATAACAAAGATACTCTTATTTCTTTCGATAAAATGCTTCATTTCCGAGAAAAACGGATCTAAGAGTACATTAATAAAATTTTAAAAAATTTTCTTGAATAGCTAAAATGGGTACATGTACCATTATGAATTTTGAAATGTCATCATGTCATTATACATTGTAATAAACAACGTGAAAAGTTCTTAGAAAAGTTTGTTATGGGCATCGCAAGCAGGGGAAGCGGCTCTTTTATATAAAAAAATAATCCATTTTCGAGAAAATCGGTTTAAATATGTTATAACGGTTCCAAAGTGTGCTTTTCTAAGAACTTAAATCAGTTATTCTTGGAAATGGAGCATTTTATCGGAAGAAATGAAGAGTACCTTTTTTGTAGAGGAAATGAAGGTCTATCATATGTTGGCCTCAAAATTTGAACATTTCGACAAGCAAAAAAATTGGGGCAAATTTTAACCGACGACCCCCCCAATTGAGACGCCCCTGATCAAAATTTTTGAAATTTTCGCCTTTTAATGAGCGTTCATGGTGTCAAAATTCATAATTTTCCTTCAACCCATTTCGGAAATATTAAAAAAATTTTTTTTGAGGCCTCAATGATGGGGCGACCAATGTTTATATAAAAAAATATTCTTATTTTTGGCAATAGAATCAAGTGGTAAATTATTGGACAGTAATTATGAGACACCCTGTATATTTAATTTTTGCTATTGTTTCCTGCTTCATACGTAATCATTTGTAGAATGTATTTCAGGAAATCAATATTTTTTTATTCAAATTTTCCTTTTGACAATTTCACAAATATTTTGGCTGATTAATAATACGATAAGATTCAGATAGTACTGCGTTATCTTTATATAAGTAGGTAATTGTTTGTTTCAGTTAATAAGTTATTGTTCAAGTAAAATACAAATTGTTGTACGAATTGCATACATATTTCAATAAACGTATGCTGTATCAGTTCGGGTAAGTTATTTTTTTATTACTTTTTTAATAAGTATTCGCTATTGGCATAGAGCTTTATGAAATAGTACGGATTAGTGATGACCGTTTTCCAAAAAAAGACTAAAATTAATAATTGTCCCCAGTTTATTAAAATATACTGTGTTCATGTGTTTTTTTTGTTCTTTTAGTCTTTTGTTTGTGGCGATAGCGCAAAGCAAACGAGTTTTGACATTTTCTAAATAATGTTTTACTTTAAAAACTTTTTTATATTACATTTTACGAAAAAAGGCACATTGATAAAAAATTTTGCTTCAATTTAAAATGAGGTTGCCATTGTGAAATTTAACATTCATGTGCGGGGTACCTTTATTTTTAATATTTGCGAAAAGTGATATTTTGCACAATTCATGCAAAAAAGTTACTTGAGTTTTTAAATAAAACAATTCTCTCACCCCGTACATGAAATGTTAAATTTCACCATGGCAACCTGATTTTAAATTCAAACGAAACTTTTTATCAAGTGCGTCTTTTTCCCGTAAAATATAAAATAAGAAAGTTTCTCCTTTTATTCCTAACCGCGGACATACTGTATATACAAAAATGATTCTAGGATATTGAACTTCATTGGTCATCGAAAATGGATACATCTTATTACACCTACGATGGCAAGTTATGGAAACCGGACTTGACTGTATTGGACAACAATAGTTTCTTTCATTCCGCTTTTGGAATAAAAACTAATAAGCATGAAGCATATTTCGATAAGCATGCAAGATTTCGGCGCATGCGTTGGTCGACTTTCTTGACATATTTTGAAAATGAAACTATGTCACCCCCACTAATAAACTGCTTGTCCGCAATTAAAAAATACAGAGATATAAATGTTGAGGATAAAACATTTTTAAAACAATATGTATCTGGTATTCTGGCCGCAGATCAGCCTGTTGCATTAGAGGAAATTCCCATTCTATCGGCGTTGGAAAATATAATGATTGTAGTGCTTTCGGACAGTGAATCAGACCCAGTTACTGTTTTTAAACCTAATTCTGAAATTTTTGGCAGTTATTCACATCTTCTTGAGCAGCCCAAGGAAGCCGTTTTGAGTTTAAAGGAAAATATTTGTTGTAGATTAAGCCCTATTGACGATATTCCAGTTCCAAAGAGCGATGTCAAGAAAAATAATGTTACCGAAGAAAATCAAGAACCACCAAACAGTCATTCGAACAAATACAAGAAAGGAGGGACTGCTGGAAGTAAAGGGGTAGAGTTCCAGGTGAATCTGCTGACCATATTTCTATTGAATTCACTCTTAAAACTAAAAAACTGGAGGCTTTCAACTGAAAACAAGCAGGCCGGCAAATTCGACGACATTGTGTTGGAAATGTCTGATAAAAGTGTCGTACTTCTGCAGGCAAAGCATAAAGAGAATAGGAAGATAACTTTTGACCAACTCCTTTCGGTTAATTCTAAAAACGACGACTTCAGTTTACCAAAATATTTTTTCTCTTACCAGGAGATCAAGAATAAGAATACATTTCTAATAAAAGCTGTTATTATTTGTACTAACACAAACGTCGACAAGAAGTCACAAAATTTTTTAAATCGTCAAAAGGTTAGTTCTGAGAGCATGCTGCACTACGAAGATGGCAGTTGTTCGTTTTTTACATTTAACGATGAAATTTTATCTTATTTAAAACAGAATATTAATATCTACTATGAAAATAATCTGCGAGACAAAGGCATAGATGAGGGAATAATTTCCGACGAAAACATCGAAGATTTTTTGAAAAATTTACAGTTCTATTGCGATTACCCCCTAGAAAATAATTTACAAGCAGTCGTTGAAAAAATATTGTCCCGCATGAAATACTCCAACAGTTTATGGGGCAGAACATCGTTCCAAGACATATCCAATAAAGTAACGGAATGGTTTAAACAACCGTATGGGGAATATCTAACAGAAGATCGTGCCAAATCCATATTTTGCGAAATAAAGAGTGATAAGTACTGCGAAATATTGGAACACTATAACGTTCTTTTTGAACATAACGACTTCGATTTTACTTACCCGAATAGAGTGTTTCACGTTATTGCCGATGATGGGTATCTGCTCCACTCAATAAAAATTTATCGTGCTTTACGCGCTAATAAGTCGAAAATATTGTACGTCAATCCTGAAGACAATGCTCACGTGCAGAAACAAATCATATATACATTCGAGATGCCTTCCTATGCACTTCTGGTATTTTGCTCTAAAATTATAAATAATTCCTTACGAACCGAAATATATAGTCAATTAGGAAGGATATTACGAAAGTATAACTACAAAAAACTTATCGTGGTGTCTGAGAGTCATGACCATTTGGCACAGTGGTTTGGATTAAGTGATGATAGCTACTATATCATCAAAGAACCTGTAATATTCCAGGATCTTACTAAAGACTCACAGAACAGGCTCCTAAAGAAGAAAAACGTAGTGTTTCAAGGACACGATATTAGCTTGGAAGAGCTATTTTCAGAGAAAACTCTCGAAACCTGTCAAAAAGCTATAAGCCCGAAAATTTTGGAAATGCTAGTTCGAGGTGAGAAAATTAAAGTAGGATCAGAGGTGCAACTTCTTGGTAATGACATTTCTCGTTATTACATCGATCGGCAATTTAAGAGGAAAGCTAAGACGAGAGACGAAATTTTCTCCGTAGACACGATTTTTGAAGTAAATGAGAAGGTGATAATTATATCTGATGGTTCCGGAATGGGAAAGAGCACCATACTCACTAAATTAGCTATGGCGATAAAGAATAGATATCCGTACTTGTGGGTCATTAGAGTTGAACTCAATGATTACACTGGCATTTTAAGCGACCTACTCAGGGATAACAGAGAAGTGATGAGTGTAACGGAACTATTGGATTATAAGGATTCATCTAAAATGACTAACCATTTAGAAAAGTTCATGTTTGCCATGAAGGGAAAGGTCGTGTTAATGTTGGACGGGGTCGATGAGATAAGTCCAGATTATACAGGACTCATTGTAAGCTTGATCACTCAGTGCCAGGAAGCATCCAACTTCGTTAAGATATTCGTCACTACCAGGCCCCATATGTCTCAGGAATTAGAAGGCAATCTACAAGTTAAACCGTTCATACTGCAAAAGTTTACTAAACAAAATCAAATAGACTTTCTCGCAAATTACTGGATGTTTAATTTGAAATTAAGCGACGCCAATAAAACAAGGTGTGAGCAGTACGCGGAGGCCTTAATAAACAAAATGTCCTCTTGGTTAAAATTGCATAATCAGAGAGAGAACCATTTCGCGGCGATTCCGTTACACGTGCGGATGTTGGCGGAAATTTTTCAGGAGAATAATGATTTGGAAGAACTAACGAGATGGGTAGGTTGCAAGGAATATTTACATTCAAATCAAGTAGAACCAACATTACCGGCGAAAATGAATATTACGAAGTTGTACAAGATTTTCATCGACAAAAAACGTGAAGTTTTCTTCCATAAGGGGAACCCAAGTGGGAATGTTGCAGCCAATCAAGCTCTTACATCTCAGTTTGATGAGTGCCTCATTTACCACCGCGCGCTCGCTTTGAAATATATTTTAGAAGCTAAGTGTAAACTTTTGTCCTGTTATCGAGAATGCGATGAAAACATAGAGTTAAATACATTGAAAATAGGTATTGTGCAAAAATTCAACAACAGATACTATTTCGCCCACAGAACGTTCGCCGAATACTTTGTCGCCAAAAGTTTACTAAGAGAACTACAGTTAGAGAACCCAAACGTATTATTCCAAAAGTTCCTAATCGAAGAGATACTAACGTATCCTGAATACAATGTTATTCGCTCGTTTTTCAACAGTTGTCTACATAATGTTGTAGAATCTTTACCCTCTAACGTTCTCGAAGATTATCAGTTCCTCATATACGAGATAGACCCGCGCAAGAAACAAAAATTTAACCTAATTCACGAAATGGCATCAGAAGGTTGTGTATCAATTCTCCAGTTCCTCTTCAAGTGTATCGGTTTTAACACTACTGGAGGAAAAGAAAGAAAACGACCAAGTTTTTACGAAACCAATGCAGGCACGCAGAATCAAAATAAAGTTTTTGGTAATACATTAAATATCATACAGTCTCTTGTTGCACGGGATGGAGTCAACATTAAAGATAGCACCGGCAAGTCACCGTTACACTATGCCAGTAAAAATGGTCGTTTGGAGTGTGTGAAGTTCCTAATTGAACAAGGTGCTGACGTCGATATTAGAGACTCGGGAGATTTCGTTCCACTTCGTGAAGCCGTGAAAGAAAACCATATTGACGTAGTAAAATTTTTGATAGAACAAGGAGCAGATATTAAAGCGAAAGACAGGCTTGGTCATACCGTCCTCTATGAAGCTATCATGGAAGATCTAGTCAATATCGCCTCGTATATTCTGGGAACAATTGTTGGTAGCGTCGAAGACAATATCGCGGACATTATGGTTCCTTATGCGGCAGCTTACTTGGGCCAGTTAAATATCCTTGAAGAAACAGTTCGTCAAGGAGATGTGAATTGCAGAATTGGAAATGGCGAGTCTTTGATTTTCGGAGCAGTGCGTGGAAAGCAACTAATTACTATAAGATATTTGGTGGACAAGGGCGCTGACGTCAATAGTAAGGATGAAGACGGTAACACACCCCTATGTCTAGCTGCTTTGAAAGGCCAATTGGAAGCTGTTAAATTACTTGTAGAATGCGGAGCAGATGTCAATGTTGGAAATAACGAACGACGCACGGCACTACACATAGCGGCGTCATGGGGTCGGTTGGATACGGTCGAGTTTTTTGTTAACTGTGGCGGTAACGTTAATATTGGAGACAGCGACGGTTACACGGTGTTACATTTAGCTGCCGAAGAGGGTTTGTTGGATACGGTTAGATTTCTTGTAGACCGTGGGGCCGATGTGAATACAAAAGGTTATGACCATCGCACGGCACTATTTTTAGCTGCTCTGCAGGGCGAGTTGGATACCGTCAAATTCTTAGCGGAACGGGGTACCGATGTTAACTATAGAGACAACGACGGCTCTACTGCATTGTTCTTAGCCGCTGAGTATGGTGAGCTGGATACTGTTAGGTGCCTTTTGGAATGCGGTGCCGATATTAATATCAAAGATAACGATGGATATACTGTGTTGCATTTAGCTGTTTTGGCTTATCGTCATCTGGACACAGTTGAATTTCTTGTGCAATGCGGTGCAGAGGTGGATATTAGAAACTGCGACGGTCGCACTGCACTGTTTGTGGCTATCGAGGAAGGTAATTTGGACGCTGTCCTCTTTCTCGTGGAAGCTGGTGCAAATATTAACGTTACAGATAATGAAGGCTTCACGGCATTACATATGGCTGTTATTAAGCGTCAACCCGAAATCATTAGAACTCTTGTGGTATCTGGTGCAGAGCTTAATATTAAAAGTAATAGTGGCTGGACGGTACTGCATCTGGCTGCTGTTTGGGGAAACTTGGATGTCGTGAAAGTCCTTTTCTACAATGGTGCTGACGTTAGAGTTAGACGTAGGGACGGTCAAACTATGCTATTTTTAGCAGTTAAGAAGGGCCATTTAAACGTTATTAAGTTTTTTATAATAGAGGCAGGCGTGGATATTAATATTAAGAATAGCATTGGCCGCACGGTATTGCATTGTGCTGCTTCATCAGGTAGGAGCGATATCGTAGAATTTTTAACAGAGAATGGCGCGAATATTGACGTTAAGGATTTTTACGGAAACACGGCCGCTACCTTAGCTAAAAGGAGGGGACACTTAAACCTACTCAGATATTTGGAGAAAGAAAGCGTGAAACCAATATGGACTCAATTATGTTTCCGTTGCCTAAAATAACTATCTTTAGATATTATTATGGCTTTCCTCGACGGAGTATACATACCTGTTATAACTAGGTATCCACTTCAAACGACTTCACTGTAGAGTAGCTATTTCGTACAATGTTGATATTTTGCATACCTAGATGATAATGTCAAAGAGTATGACTTCACCTGATCTCTCTCGTCAGAAAGATCAGAAGAATAATGTTAAAGAGTATGACTGCATCTCATGTCTCTCATCAAGAAGATCGGAAGGAGTTGGAGTTGATTTGAATTAGCCAACGACCAGCGGACAAATTGTGCCAACTCTACCGATCACATTATGATACGAAAACATTTTGGTTATGTATTTCTGGCAAAAATAACCACTTTTTAACTGTTGAGATTTTTTCGAAAAAAGCTTCGTTTTCGATTTAAGGTCGAAAAATTTTGACATTATTGCTGGATTATGTATTTATTTGTTTTTTACTATTTTCTAATTTAATTTTGGGTAAAAGTATTTTAAATATTAATTGATTTACTATCTACGTACTTTTTTTTATTTCTTGTATATTCCCAAATCTTTAATATACATTCATTATTAAGACGACAGTAAAATAATACAAGACTAATTATTCACAAAAGCAGTATGGTTATGGCAGTATTCAGCATATGTAGTGTCCAGATTTATCATTAGAATGAGGAATTCCTTCCATTGTTTTTTTAAGAATTATTTTTTTTTAATTATTTTTCAACCGTGAAAGAATTTCATATAAGTATGAGTAGGTGTGGGAAATCAATTGCAACTGTAAAAGATTGAGGTTTGAACATTGTTATGTTGTTATTCTGTTTCAAAATAAGTTCGTGTATAAAAAAATTAAAAGAAGCTTTTAGAGACGTCATTTTATTTTCGTATTCTTCTCAGCAAACCTTTCATTTGATACCCATATCATGTTAGTGCATAAAAAATAGCTGGTCCGCCATCTTTGGAGGTCAGCTATATTGGATTAAGAATGACGTCACTTAGTTAACCATGCATTGTCATCCAAACTAAACGTGTTGCAAGATTTGACCCATACTAACGAGGCAAGTTAAATAAAAACTTGTAATAAATCGGTAAAGTAAACCACAAATTTCTTCAGAATTACAAAGGAATTAATGGATATGTTAAAATAAAAAACAAATGAAAGTTTCAAGGATCTGTCAAAACCGAATTATTTTAAATAAATTATCAATTCATATGAACTAATAGTACTGAGACTCTGATGCTCCGTGGTTTTTTGTTTTCGACAAAGTTGAGAACACTGCAATTAAGGCCAACGTGTTGGGAGCAGAACGCACTCATTGGTCTCAGTCAGTTGAGAACTGTTGTTGTAGCGGCGTGTTAATATGGGTGCCGCTATTCGGAATCCCGCCAGCTGCGGGATTTATTGCGAAAAGATTTTGTAAAACAAAATAAAGTTCTTTTTTTATTATTCATAAATTTAATATNTTTGTTAGTTAACTTAGACAGTCGTCTAACGCTTTGGCAATATATATATATATATATATATATATGTATATATATAAAATATCACTGATTCAATATTTTTGGCATTTTAAAAATCGTTAAATAAATGAATGACGTAAGATGTTGAAAGGATATTTCCTTACATGAAGTACATTGTAGATACTTTTAAACAAATTTAATATGTAAAAATGGGTATGATGGATGGTATTACTTTGGTAAGTGAATAAGGAATCGATCTAACTGTCAATTGGTCATACAAATGCATTACAAAAGTTTGTTGTCGGTGATAAATTTATGAAGAAAAAAATAATTCATTCCACTGGGGGTTTAATAATATCATCGCGCTCGATTAAACTCAATGTCTGGAACGACTTGGATCGTAAACTCAACAAACTGGGTAGCTAGGGTCCCTAATAAAATTATAGAAGCGGAAAAGAAATTGATGATAACAATCAAGTTTCAATTGTTCTCAAAACAATGTCTATTTTAGAAAATGAATTTGATACATTACATCAACGCTGTTTATATAATAACAAATTTGGACATATCTTCACTTCTCTTCATATGGAAATTTAATTTTTAATTCTCCAAACTTTGACGTCAATATTTCATTTGAAATAGTAGATTGATGTTTTGCTTTCAGTGAGAAAAAGCTCTGAATTAAAAAATGTGAAAAAATATAACTGATACTCTTCGGTTGCTGTTTTTTAGATCTACATAGGCACCGTGGTTTTTACGATGATATACTCGAATCTCCATAAAAAAAATGTCCAAGTTTCAGTTCTTCAAGGATACCTTTAAAATAAACATTTCTCTTCGATGTGTTATTCGTAGAGTACGGACAACAATACACATGATTCACCTTTGATGTTGAAAACAAAACAAAAATTTCATAGCTGTATGTCGGTAAATTATTATCACACATTGTAAAAATATTGATAGGCGTTTTGAGGTGGGGAAAAAAGATAATTATTTAATGTTGGCAGTTTTATAGAGTTATCAAAAGTAAACTTCCTCTTCCAGTGCCTGTCTCAACCAAAGCGTGAAAGTTATTGCTTATGCATTGCAGTTTCATGTGCAAGTGCTTGTTACTGTAAGTAGTCCCAATTACTTAGTCATAACATTAATAAATTATTCCCTAAAAGGAGGTCACGCATATTACCGATACCGAACTTTGTGCGCATGGTTCGTCATATACATTTATTTTCACTTCATAATATACGCAAATTATAACTTTTACCGCTAGCTCGTTTTTATGAGCATAAGATTTTATCAATTTAGGTTATTACCTTTAAATGAAAACCCCCTTATCTGGACTATTTTTATATCAGATTAGATTTAATTTATATGGTGAAATTGTCGATAAAATACGAATTCATTAATTTCTGTAGTTCGACTGCAATCTTATTTACGTAAAGGCAAACATATACGAACGAAAGATGATGAACTAATTTGTTAACGACCGAATTGGGTTGATTTTATCGTCATTGGGGGTAAGTAAATATGAATATCGAATAATTTTCGTGCCCTTGAAATAGTGTAATAGGAAAGTATAATCGGCAGAGGGCAAGGGAATAAGGGTTTTGGTTTTCTGACTAAGCCAACGTTCCTATTTTATTTAAAATCTTCAGTTTTATAAGTAACAATAATATGTGAATGTGGAACTTAATATAATATAGGTAATAAAAATATGGGAAACACTGGCAATGGGAAAGATATTAAAACTTTTTTGCTGAAATGTGTCACTTTATTTATTTTCCTGTTCGTCTGATACAAACGAAAATTGTTATAATGAGACTTTAACTTTGGAAACAAAATAACTCTCAGATATAAAGTCTGTAATAAATATTCAAAGTTGTGGGATTAGGAAAATCTCCCGTTTGCTGCAGCAGGCAGAAGACTTTATACGCTTTATATACGCGTACATTTAAAAAAAGTGTATTTAAAGATATTATAAGTATTTAAATAAAACAAGCACTTCAGTAGGATACTCTCATTAGGTACATTGAGGGAAAAATCTTCCTTAAAACTAGTAGGAAATTATCTACTTTCATATTAGATATATATTATATGTATTTAGAATATATCATCAGATATTTTTCAGAATTTTTTTTGAACTGAAAATGCCAGAAATTTGTATATTTGTAAAAATTGAATAATTTATTATCGTCATTTCCAAAATAGTGCCTTTCTAGAATTAAGTAATTTATTGATGTACAAACTTACTTTTGAGGAAATTTTATTTATTCCCTAAAATTAAATATTGTGGCGATGAGATTTCGGATTCAGAGCGTCTTTATAGATAACACAGTGAATCTAGTGTATATTTTGTAAATTAATTAAAAAAACATTCAAGCTGTACTAAATCCTCAATTTTCTACAAATCTCTTGTCTCTTTATATTATTTCACCTTTATCCCAAATTTTCTGAATAAAAATTTAAAATGACAATTCGATTTTCTCAAAAATATTATATATACATTTTTTATAGAGAATTTTCACGAAATAAGTTTTTTTGCAGTATTCCGGCCATTTCCCGGATTCATTTCCGTGCAGAATAATTTTTTTCTCATCTACTAGCAAAAAACTAGCCCCATGCAAAAAATTGTCTCTTCGGAATTAACGCCATCTTTAAATACAATTTTGACTAGGGCGTTTGGACTAAATATGGCGGTACTAAACTGTAGTTCGTTGTAAAAAATAACGAATACGTCAGCAAATTACACATATCCAATGAAAGTCGAATAAAATTTAAGTATTATGATGATGACTCAAAAAAAACGTAATTTATACAAAGAACTGAAAGAACTGATTACTTGAACAAAAGAAAAACGGGATACAAAGGGAGATAATTTATGTAAAGTAAATTTCCAAAGACAGAGCACAAAAAGGTACGTTAATTCTAATCATTTCGTTTCCAGAAACAATTGCTTAAGTTTAAGTAAACCATTACAATATCACAATTTAAGGATACATCAGAGAAGGATAAACGTAAAATTGGTCAATGTTTTGATTTATTATTTGCTTATACCGAGATACAGTTTTTTAAATTTTATTATGATATTTTCTTTGCGAAAATATTAGATTTTTATAAAGAAGTTAGTTTACTTTTTTGCGTAAAATACGCCTGTGCAAACAATATTTTATTGTAACAAAAAATAATTTTTGACATTTATGGCATCAAAATTTTTTTTAATTCGTAATCATTTGAAGAAATATGTCGGGATTCAATTTATTCCAGTTATACAAAATTTCTTTACAGAAATCAGTATTTTTACAAGCAAGAAAGTTATAGAGCATCATAAAAAACAGTCAAAATCAGAAAACGCCCTGTATTTCTTACACGAATTAAGATTTCGAGAAGCGATTTTCATCAATGGACTTTTCTTGAAAATTGGGTTCCTAACAAACCATTTTTTTCTATGTTTTCGGAACTCCCCAAAACCGTAGAATTTGACAATGTCCTTTTTGAAGACTTTTTGGTCAAAAATGGTCTTTGGAACAACCACTTGAAGTTATGGACTTCTACTAATAAACATAAAAAAGGCTAAATTGACGTACAACTTCACACAACCACCTACACTTCCACCCACCTCACAGAATTGTAAATCAGACCCATTCTTCAACCTCAAGCAACCCAGTGTGGCGTATAAAAAGTAATTTCAAAGTTCCATTATGTCTGGAATACAAGCGGAGTAATCTATACATATATGGAACACAATTTTATGCAGTCCTGGAGCTATCTAGATTTCCCGTACACCTTGGTTCCCCAGAGAGAAGGTTTGCGTGTTGTTATTTTCCTCCATTCTCTTATATTCATACGTGACTTGCTTCTCAGACAAAAACAGGAACAAGGACCCGTGAGAGATATCGAACATTTTTGAAAACACATTAATTAATTAGGTTACAACAGCGGTAGATCTGTGTTTTGAATTGTGGTATTCTTAATAAATTTGGTGTAAATGTAAAGCTTTGTTGATCACCATTGCAAAATCGTTGAACATTTTCCCCAGAATTGGGCAAACTATTCGCGATGTGCGCAGAGCAGTTTTCAAACGCTAATAAAAATCTAGGTGCAACAGGTGTGAAATTTTCTTACCTAATGCCACTCATGCTTAAATTATTGCAGGAACTAGTTCTCAAATATGTGAGGTTATATTTTATGGTTCTATTAATGTAACAGGCAATAAGTTCTATTGAGGTGGAAGACTTATGGAGCACCCCGTACATAATAGGTAAATAGAGAGCTTTTGTTTAACTGACTATGAATATAGCAAACTGTATATAATATCCTTTAGTACAACGTAAAAAAGCTGCTTGGAAAAAGAAATAAACTGTTTTTTTTCATTCGAGTTCATCCTAGATACTAGAAAAACTAAGTGAAGTGGAACAATTGCGCATGTGTGACGAACAAACTGTCTTAATTTATAAAATATTTCGGTTTAGTCGCGTCGCTACAATATTTTGTAGTTGAAATGTACAGGGGAAGGTAGTAGAAAAGGTGTCGTCTCATCTCTCGAGTCAATTTTTTTCATTAGCAACATTATTATTTTTTAAATAATTTGGGCCGAAAATCAGTTTTTCCGATATATTTGAAAAATGATTGATTTTAGAGAAAAGTGTTCAACAAATGAAATATGCGCATTAAGAAGACCTACAAAATGCCACCTAATAAATTAAAATCGGGTAAATTGTTAAATTTTGATTTTCAATCAATATATAGCTGGACAACTGTAGTCTCTAGCGTCATTTGTAATACGCTTGGAGAGCCACGTGACCTCAGCGATTTTACAATAGTCGTTGCGATAGTGTTTACAATAATTTTTTAGTAGTTAGTGTCAAAAATGGCTTGCGTGTATAGCAACTCGGAGTTGATGGATATCGTTTTAATTTATGGTGAAGCAAGGCAACATTTGTATTATGGTAAAGCATTTGTGTTATGGTGAAGTAAGACAATTTTTCGAGACAAAACGTCTGAATCTGGTTCGGACTGAGGCAGTACAGTATTGGGGGTCATGAAGGCTTGCAAAAAAGGTAATAAAATTTCCAGGGTCGTATTTAAAAAAATCCGATCAAAGTTAACCGTCATTTACACTAAATGTACTGGGACATCAGGGCTAATTTTTCGAAAAATACCTTTGGTATTCCTTACCAGGTCTAAGATTACAATACTTTTCTTCGTTGGCAACCTACTTTAAAACGTGTTTAAAGTTATTTATGCAAGCGAGAAATTCAATAAAATCGTACGGGTGGTGGTGGTGGGGGAAGCAGAGAGCGCGGCCGCTTCGGCCTGCTCGAAATTGAATCGGCTATAACTACGTAACTAATTGATCAATCGATCTGTTTTTTTTTAAAGAAGCGTCTTTCCAAGAACTTTTAAAACCTGCTTTAAAAAATTTGATTTGATTGAATATTCACAAAGTTATTCTAATTGTTTATAAGTACAAAAATTCGACCAATGTTTAAACAAGCGCCAGAGTTCTAATTGACGGATTCGAATGTTTCAAAAAAGTTTGAAAGCTTGAGAGCCCTTCTATATGTGATTAAATTTTCAAGTATCTAAGGGCCTTGGTTTTTGCTGTGCAAAATTGTGAAAATTTGCAATTTTTTTTTCAAAATCTGAATTGCATTATTATTATGCAAAATCTATCGAACCGATTTTGATGAAATTTGGTGTGATAATTCTACATTACATGAAGTTTTCTTGGGCGAAGTATAAAGGTCCTATACCCAACTTAAATACCCCAAAAAAGTTTAAGTTTATTCACATTGTAATAATTTCTAAATTCCATTATTTAAAATTACCTATATCTTTCTGTGCAGTATTATGAAGCCTTTTCAAAATGTCCACATAATGTTGAACCGCTTTGTTTACATTCATTTAAACTTTGTAGGTATCGATCTTTCGTTACCCTCCTCTTTACCTAATGCCGCCTTTGTAATAACCAACGTACTACGTTCATATATCCCGTAAATGCGTTTAATCACGAGTATACCAATCATAAATTTTATTTGTAATAATTTTATTTTTAAATTTATGCAACTAAAGTCACCGTGAATTAATTGTTTAGGTCCGTATCTAATTCAACCCGTCATTATCTTAATTTGTATACACCGACATCAATCTTGCTTTAAAATTATAGGGGAGTAAAGTTATTATCAACTATAAGGAACTTAATTAATTACGTGGGATTCTCAAGGGTGTATCAGGTGTACGGAATGATTATATGTAAATGGGTAAATAAACTGATGTCTCAGTTTGAAAACGGTATAGAAAGGAAGTTTGGTGCTTTACAGGGCCTACAATTTTCTCTGCTAATTCTGTAATCTTTACAAATTAACTTACATATTCATTAATTAGTTTGTTATTAGAGATGCTCAGGAAAAGTATTAACAGTATTTAATTTTGAATAGGAAATTGGTAAAAACACAATATAAAATATATCCATGAAAATGTAACACAAGTAGGTCCAGCTACAAATTGCATCAAGCTTTCGAATAATATTGTTTGAAAATATGATAAAATCTACGAATTGTAGTTAGTATACTTAGTTGTAAAAATAATCAGAATGCAAATGTTGCATTTTCAGTTTTAAACAATAATATACTAGTTTGACATAACTTGTATAGTCTTTTCGATGTCAGTTGAACATGTATAAAAACGCCTAGTAATAAAATTTAATGAGTTTCATAGGCGTCCCTAAAAAAGTTTTCTGCTAAAGTTAAAAAATTATCATAATTTGTATATAATGTGTAGAAAATTTCTATCACATGTTCATTTGACCAACAACATATTTTAATTATTTATGCCCTCAAACAAATTTATTATATTGATGGTAAATTTTGTTTTCCGTTTCAAAAGGTCTCTAAAATTCCATGTTGGAATAATATTAGTAAATAAAATATCCCTTTTATTTCTCCCTTTCATCATTGTTATATGAACGACGAAGGTGCCTATAATAAATTAAAATTACTTGAACACATCAAATTCCGCGTTACTGCACTGCACTGCTAGGCCATTTGTTGACAACTGAATTTATGACCAGGTTGCCAGTGCGGCTGTGTTTGTGCCGCGTTTGCCCGCGCGCGCTTAATCTTCATCAGGGCGACCAGACCTGTACATGGGAACAACAACATACTGCCAACCTCTTGATTCTTCTACTGAGATCGGAAATACTATAACTGGACCCATTTGTGGTACAGTTGTGTAGATTAAAGCTTTTGAATACTCAGTTATTGCAACAAACAGCGCCACATAAGTATGCTTATTGTTTAAAATTTTTTAAAGTTCAATGGCTGTATCTTAGGGACCAGAGCAGGTGCAAAAACCTATTCAAAACCGTCTGGGATACAGAGACAAAATTATTAACGTAGCAAATTTAGTTTTTCCACTATTTTGTAGACAGGTTTCTATTTAAGATCTTTTAGTACAGATTTACAGGATTGTAAGTTGATTTTGTTGATGTGTATGCGTTATGTTAGTTTTTGCCTGTTTCGGTTCTTAAAATATTTCAGCCGCAAATCCTTAGTACGACTAAGCGCCTGTTCCTAACGATAAGCGTCTGATTTATACTTCAAGAAACATTCGAGAATGGCATTTGTCAAGAAGCTTAATCTGCCCTATTTGTAGTTTCTAGGAGGTTTTTTAACTTTAACTTCCTGAGTTAAATGTAAGGATAAGCGGTCTCATATTTTGAATTTGAGACAAAATTTGAAGCACGTTTCACTTTATAAATATTTATAATTACTTTTTTTAGTATTTCCACTTTTTTTATGTTAATATGCGTCAAAAGTTTATTATTTATGAACTAAAAGTAAACCAAGGTTTTAAACGTCAATGCAATGTATTTTTTATTTATTTTTTTTTTAATTTTTGTTGATATAAAAATAATTTCCGTTTTGAAGGAAAAAACAACCGAAAGGAACCATTTTTTGACTGATTTTGCAGCTATTTCCGTTTAATATTCCACTATTTGATACGAATCTAGTAATATCATGACTAGAATTAGCGTGTGGTACTTATTTTTCGTTTCTATTATCAGTTTCCCGGATCTGTTTCGTGTACATATACAATTCATGTATTGCAATTATATCAAGAATGAAAATTAATAGCTTTTAAACTAATACATACTCATATTGGATGAATGTATTTTTTTTACATTAGCCAATCAATGTATCTTATCAGGTTATTCATTTTTGATACTTGTTTTGTTGTGGTTGTACCTATCGCCAGAGAGCTATCAGAGTAGTTGCTTCCCATAATATCATTAGTTAAAAAAAATATCTAAGTGCGAAACTAATTACGCTTTCACAGTACCTGCAGATTAGTAGGTCACTATCTGCCAGTAGATAAAACGCAACGCTTAGTAGATACGAGTTGGCGTTAAGTATCAATGACATTTAAGATATGACATACACTTTATAGGTTATATCTTACCCACACTCAAAACATATCATTTTGCTGAACTGTTTTAGTTGCGTTTTAAATAATTCCTTAAATTTTGGTAGTCAAAAAATGTAAAAAATATACAATGTTTACTTTGAATATTTCAATTGCTAATTGTGGCACTACACAAAAATTAGAAAATATATTAAGGTATAGGGACTCTTTAAGACCGAATATAGGCAAATGTGTGGCAGAAAATATTTCGGTCGAATTTATAAACACCGTAATTCTATTTATCTTGCGTTATCAAAGAATGACTGAACTCACCCCTGAATTCTATCTTGGCCAGTTTCTCCCCTTTGCATCTCGGTATCTGGAACTGTTTGAGCTTTACCGAAATCGACATTACGTTCGCGCGCGATCCCGAATTGTGCAGTGAGGTCGTCCTGCTGCCGCAGGAATAACTTGTTGATCGAGCGTGCTGCCTCGGCGGCACTGCCGGCCGCGAGCGGGAGGGTTCGGTTCGGAAGGACTATGGCGCAGGACCCTCGACATCCCTTGCCGCTTGCCGTAAAATAGACGGGGCGATCCCCAGTGGATGCGATGTGCTTCTAATTGAGATAGACGGTAAATGGAAATATGAATTATTTGGTAAATTTAAGTAATTGGGACAGATTCCTATCGTAATAAAAGTTGTGGAAATTTATTTTGAATTTTACATTTTCAATGATTATTGTATGTATATACAGGGTGTTCCAAAAGTAACGGATTTTAATTGTGTAGACAAAGCGGGGTGCTATGCGACGGATGAGTGCGTGAATATTGTGAAAGTTCATTGCGGTGTACGGAGAGTGTGTAGCTGAGATCGTGCGCAAATTGCATAGAGTTTTCCGTAGATCAGATAAACTAATTATTATGAAAGGTCTTGTAAAAATTGAGAGACATCTCTCGAGTTGTGCCGGGTATATTCATTATAAAGAGAGGAAATTATTAGTTGAATTGAAAACATTTTAGTTGAAGAAAGATACAACGCTTCTACAAGGGGGTTTGTAAATTTGCAATAATCAGAACTTTGACAAATAGGTATGTATTTGATGAAATTGCTATAATCATAGTCGAAAAGTTAAAAAAGGATTGCAAACTTGCCTTCCTTTGTCTCTCCTCCTCCTCTAGAGATTATTATATGCCCAATATTCAAATGTGTGACTTTGCCGTTGGCACCTTAACACAAAATTTCAATCAATTAATTAATTAATCGGATATTCATTACCTATTATCTTTCATTATGTACTTTTGTCATTAATTACCTCGTTAATTACCTAATCACTGCCCATCTCACTTTCACTTTGCTAACCGTACTTTTTAAGCTCTTATTTTATTAAAAGTTAAAATGAGTTTTATTTGCAATCATATGTTTGTTACTCTTGTTCCTAGCATTAGAGATATCATATTTTTCTAATGTAAACAATAATTTCTTTTCGATAAATATATGCGCAATGGGAGAAACAATAAACGTGAAGCGCAAACAAATGTACACTGATTGGCTTGCTCGATATTGCAGTTAATAATTTATTTATTTTATCCAGAACCCGCAGAGTAAATTCAAGCTTTACATAAAAATGAAAATTGTTTTTCGTAAAGATTTGCCATATTCATTTGTTTTTTTTTTGTGGAAATTGATAAAATAATTTGACAACAGGAAAGAGAGTATAATAAAACTTATAAAAATCACTTGAATCTGTTCCGTCTAAAAGTTTACATGGGATTGGGTATCCAAAAAAATGTTTTATTTTACAATATTGACAAAAATTATGGAATAAATTCAACAATAACTTGCCTCTGTTACATTGATTTGATTGATTTGAAAATGTCAACTTTTATTTTTTGTGTTTCGAGTATTTTCAATGAAATTTGAATAATATATTTTTTACTCATATGCTTTACAAGAATTTTTTTAAATTCTAATAATTCTTGCATTGCAAACTTATAAATTTAATCATTAATGTCTCTAAATGTATCTTATGCATGTACCAGATACGCTGTATGTCGATTTTGAGACTTCTTGAAGTCTGGCTTTTATAATATCACGGAAACAATGTTAGTACGGACCTGACCGCACCGATACGTCACGTCCTACGCGCACGATATCGCGCACCGCTCGGCAAGCGACCGACCAACAAAATCTAACCGACCTTAACTGTACGTACGTCGTTGTGTTGTGTTGCCGTCCGCCATGACGAGAATGAACGTGAAGAAGCTTATTAATTTAGTCCACTCGAGACCCGCTCTTTGGGATCAGAAGCACGACGACTATAATAATAAAATCTACTTGAAGCAAGTTTGGGAGGAGATAGGAGAGAAAATGGATTGTACAGGTACGATATATTTAATATTACGTTACGAAGTTGGCTTACATGCGCCGATAAATTCTGCTGTACTCTTAGCGCCTGATGTATAGGCAACCCTACTTTCGTTGTAATGTAACGTATATTGCCTGTTTGGTATAACATGGCGGTTTTAATAAGATCGGATGTGCGTTCGGTCAGCATGTATATCAGTCGAAACAGGATACATGAGTAGCTCTACCATCCCCGCGAAAATAGTTAATACTTCCGCCATGAGAATATAAAAGCAATTTTTAAAAACTCGAAACTCATTAATTAAAAATGTGCTATTGCGAGTATGTGAGAGCTCTTTCTATTTCTGTAAATAAACTACAGAGGGATTGGTCTAATCAAAGCTTTCAGGTACTATCATAAATATGGCGAAATACCTGCAAATATGTAAGTTTTTCAGTAAAACCATTATGTATTATAATATGTAATAATTAAATTTTACCTATGACGGCACTATTATTAAGTTTCTGCAATACCTATCTTTAAAAAGTTAAAAGTACGTAAAAGAGCATGGAACCTTTCACTCGGTGATTTTTTACTTTTATTTTATTTAATAGTTGCTAACATTTAAGTGAAATATTAAATATACTGATAAATTTTCTAACTGAACGCATCTTTTAATAAAAAATATGTTTTAATAGGCAATTAAGTTTTATTTTTTAATAAAAACATCCTAAAGTAATAAAGTATTTCATTTAGTGAACCTGAATTGCTTGACACATTTTTATGATAAATCGCAATGATTATATTTTTTGTTAATTTTTGTTTTCCACATTATTAAATTTTAGTAGTACTGTGCAAATAAATAGCTTGACACTTTAATTGCGAATTCTAGTTGACATATTTTTTAATTACCAGCAGAGTTTATTGCAGAGTCCAGGAAAATAATGAAAAAATAAGCTACTTTTTTATTCTGAGATTTTCTTTATAGAAAAGTGTAGGTTTTGATACAGGATGTTTGTAAATAAGTGCGAAATATTTTAGGGGGTGGTTGCCGGTTATTTTGTGAAAAAAAGTTCATGTAAACGTAGGTCGAAATATGCTTCGTTTCCGAGATACAGAGTGTTTAAATTTTAATTTCTAATTTATTTTTGTTAATTAATTCAGAGTTTTAAAGATATTAACTAGAAATTTGAAAAACGGTTTGGAGGGATAAATGTGCATTTTTTGGGGTTATCTGATATTTCTACCTGCACCAGGGCCGTTCGTGCGAGAACACCACAACCTTTTTTAATTAAAAAAATCGTACGCCATCGACTTCTTCCCGTTTTGATATTTTTTTAGAAATCCTCCATCAATTCTGAATGAAATTGGTCTCTTCATTTTTTTTCATAGGATGCACCTTTTTTTTTTGAGAAAAAAAATAAAACATTTTACTGAGAGTTGTGTATTTTTAATTTCTATTGATACATTATCTAGCAGGTTGCTGTCAACCATCAAATTTCGAAACAATATCTTTAAAATTCTTTGACATAATTAATAAAAAATTAAAATTTAAACACTCTGTATCTCGGAAATGAAGCATATTTCGACCTACGTTTATATGGACTTTTTTCACAAAATAACTTCGGTAAACACCCCCTAAAATATTTTGCACTTATTTATAAACACCTTGTATATTATTGCATTTTCGGATTTTTCACGTATTTTAAATAAAATTGCCAATATCTCAATGAAGATGTATTTTTCGAAAAAAAGTTTCAAATAAAAGTTATTCCAAATTAAATTTTCTACAAATTTGCTCCTATGAAAATTTTTTGATTTTCCCTATAGTTTTCACGTATATTTTTTAAATGAAGTACAGATTATGTGAAAATGAATATTTTGGAGCCAAATAACGGTCAATTCATTTTTAAATAACAAAAGAAAGAAAATCGCGTAAAATTCTTGGAAAATCTTATATAGTTTTCCGAGGTTTGAATATTTATGAGCATCAAACATATCATCATAGATAAGAACAACTACATATCATTTTATAGGTTTTGGAGAGTACATTACGAATTAATTGAGCTTTTAATATTTTCCAGAAAAATTCGTTTTCTTTGAAATTTTTTTGTGACAGCGATGAAGCATTTTTACATAAGAATTCTAGAATGTAAGTCCATAAAAAAAATTGTTAACAATAATAAATAAATAAAATTGCTTTTTAATTATAAATTAAAAAAATATATAGCTACTTAATTTTTTTTTATTATACCTTTGCAACTCCAGAAAATTCCTTTCCTAATGTCATCAAATTAAATTTTCAATTACATTATATTACATATTTTTATTTTTTAATATTCAAAGTTAAAAAATTCAAATAAAACAGATTTTTTCTGGAAGATATTAAAAAGCGCGTATTTATAATGTACAACTTCGAAAACTTACAAAATGATGCGTTTGATGCCCATATATATTCAAACTTCGGAAAACTACATAAGATTTTTCAAGAATTTTCCTTTTTTTATTTAAAAATGGATTGAAAATTATTTTGGTTCCAAAACATTAATTTTCGCACAATCTGTACTACATTTAAAAAATATACGGGAAAACGATTGGGAAAATCGAAATCTTTCATAGGAGCAATTTTTAGAAATTTTAATTTTGAACAACTTTTATTTGTAACTTTTTTTCGAAAAAATGCATCTTCATTGAGATATTGGCAGATTTTGATAAAAAAAAACGCGAACAATCATATCTAGATCCCAAAACGCTCGTTGTACATATTGCTGGGTGACATGTTTTCTGATCTCAAAACCTACATTTTTGTATAAAAAATTTTTACAATAAAATAGTTCTCTTACTCCGTCTCTTAATATCTAATTTTCTTGGACTAGTAGTTCAGGGATTTTATTGCTATATGCTACAGTTTTTTTTCGTATACCGAGGCTTCTAGATATTTTTAAATCTCTTCATTTTTTAGCAGAAGGATGTAAATTGAAATGGAGAAGTTTACGCGACGTATACCGAAGAGAACTAAAGAAGTACCAGTCCCGACTAAACGATCCCAATATAACAGACAAAAATTTACCGAGGTGGTTTTACTTCAAAGAGCTCCAGTTCCTCACAGAACATTTATCGGGTCTCGAGGGTATAGCCGAATCACCTCAAGAAACCGAAGAATATTTTGAGTCGATGTATGTGAAAAGTGAACCCGATTTGCTGGACGACGAGGAGATAACATTGGAAGCGGACGACGATATCCTTCTAACCTTAACCGACAGCAAATTGCAGAACGAGGATAGGCGCAAATCTGAGTATTGCTTTCAAATCGCCGATACCGGCCAGCTGGAAGAAAATCAGTTCGAGAGAAGTGTTAAGTATTACCGGGATACTTCTAAAAGATCTCTGGATAGCATATACGAAGACAGAAGCAGGAAACGAGTAAAAGCAGTGGAGAAAAATGACAGGGATGGGGATAGTGATTACCACTTTTTAATGAGTTTGTTGCCTTTTTTGAAGACTATACCTCAACGCAGGAAAATGATTGTAAGAACTAAAATTCAGAACATATTTTGCGAAGAAATAGAAGCAGAGGCTAATAGCTCGTAGGTTTTTCATGTTATAAATGTTTGTTTATGTATTTTGGAATATTAAGCAGAAATAAATTAAATATAGTTAATAAAATTGTGCAGTTCATTGTTTTGCTGAGGATCATTACAAATTGTTGATAAATTTAATTTTTATACAAAGTTTGTGTCATTTAAATTGTAAGTATTTGCACTGGATATGTTTTTTTATTATAATTATTTCTACCAACCGACATATGTCTGGTTGGTTAAACTTACGAACGATCCTAGCTGTATTATAGTCTTTCCGATCTCAATTGAAGACCAAACAGCTACTCAGTTTGTACCGGGTTCGGTCGCTACGCAACAACTCTGTATTGAAATATTTGAAAAACTTGTTCCCATATTTATTTAGCCATACTCATATACAGATCTGGTCGCCCAGTTGAAGAATACCCGCGCGGGCAAACGACGCACAAAGACGGCCGCTCTGGGCGACTGGGCCATAAATTTCAGTTGTCGACACATTCCCTAGCAGTGCAGTGCAGCAATGCGGAATTCGGTGTGATCCAGCTAATTTTAATTTATTATAGGCACCTTAATTATTCATATTAGAATTGCGAAAGGGAGAAATAAGAGGGATAAGTATTTTGTTTACACAAATAAACAGATAACAGAAATTTTCTACACATTATATAGGAACAGATTTTTATTTTTTACTTTTAGCACAAAACTTCTTTAGGGACGCCTATGAAACTCATTAAATTTTATTGCTAGGCGTTTTTATACATGTTCAATTGACTTCGGAGACTTAAAGTAAGAAATTATATTTCTTTGTAAAATATTTGAATAAATAAGTAAATAATTTTCTTGAAAGAAGAAAATATTTTGTTGCGATATCTTAAAATCAAGACATTTTTTTGCATGCACCTATCTGTAATTTTTTCTTAAGAAATAAGCAGTGGCGGTTCTTGACTTTCGTACCAGGGGGGGCGGAAAAATTTAGTTACAAAATATTTAAAAAAAAAATGAATAATTGGGTAGTTTTATTTTAAGTACTATTGAAAAATGTAGGTACAACATTTTTTTTATAGTGATAATCCATTCTTCTGCTTTTGTGCGAATTAAACTTTTTAATTACTTTTTCTTTACAGTTTGGTATTTCTCGCATCATTGATTTTTGCAAGTTAATTTGAACTTTTGCAATTAAAAAAAATACGAGAAACAATGTAAGTAATAAAATCCAATACCACATCTGAACAAATTGCGTTTAATAAGAAAATAAAGCTGTGAATAGCTACTATTTGGTTACGGTCGAACTAAACAAAGTCTAAACTGCATAGTAAATATGCGCTATTCGATCCATCTTTCACTGCTGCGCGAAGGTAATCATGACCACCGCTGTAAACAATTTATAATGTCGAGTTAAATTGACAGCACGTTACAAATTTAATATTTCTTTTTTTAATGTGTTCAGAGCCCCCCGCACTAGCCGCCGCTGGAAATAAGAAAAATTTCTGTTATCTGGTTAGATATTTAGATATTTTCCGAGTTAATGGCAGACAATATGATCTTGTTATATTTTTTTGACAGTAGGTAGAGGGAGGGAAAAAAAAAGAGTATGTTTTCATGATTGGTTATTTATTTATTGCAAGCGTTGCGTAAAGCTCAAAAAATAATCCATTCAAATTTGAGAAATGTGAGAATTATTCCTATATTGATAAATTAAAAATATGTAAGAAAATACATACGTACGACTGGTTTCAACACTAATAAAAATCACAATGTAACAACTTACGACATTACAATATTACAATTTCCAGAGCACCATAACATTCGTTTTTAATATATAATAATATTTACAACAATTGGCTCACTTATTACCGAGTAAATGAAAATCAAAAAAGATACAATTTTGATCTATACATCTAATACATTATAGTAAGTAAATACTTGGTAGGAAGATGTTCAGGGAACCTTGTATAGAAAAAGTTAAAAGAAAAGCCCGCAGCGTTTCAACTAAATAATAATAAAAAAAAATAAATAACCGTTTGGGAGCTGCGAGCCTTAACGCCAACTTTATCCATACAACCACCCATATTTGCACTTATATAAATATATTAACTAATTACGAAATGCACAAAATAACAGCCTAGTCTGCTGGGGCGACCGTCTTATCCGTTTCCCAAAACGGTAAGAGGCTCCCAATTGGCTCAAGCCGCCAAATCTACCATTACAAGCTCTTAATCGTGTTGATTTGCGAGGTACACCCTACTTATATGGCATTTTCAAATATTAGTATCTTTGAACATTTGAAAAACCATACTTTAAAATAACTCAGTGACATCTTGGATGGACCGGACCAAATAACAGTGCCAGGTGTGCCGGATGTTCACCTACTGAGACCAAGAAACCGAGTTTGAAAAATTGGATTGGTCCTTAGTTATTGCGGAAATATTTTACTGAAACTCACATTAAAAGCAACAAGCTGGAAATGTACAGTAACCTGGAGATTATGGTTAAAGTTAAAGCACTACAAGGTGGGGGGTAATTGGAAGTCATACACGTCAAAGGAAAGAAAAATATATTACAAGCAACTCCTTTAGCGATACATAAAATTTTACATTTTGAAAAGGATTCCATATTCTTAGCAAATAGTAGGTAACACTCCAGTAAAACCTCAAACTGGAAGTCGGACCTCTCCATCCGAAACGACTACAAGAAACAACCAAACTTAAGATTATTTGTAGATATATAAAAAATAGAAATATTATACAATAAACCCCTGGAGGCCACTGGTTAAAACTTAAATAGAACAGTGCTTTCAGGGTAGATCTTAGAAAGCAGGAAGAAGTTCGTCACTGGACTAGCTCATTCGATAAAACTCGAACGGTTTAAAACAAGCTCTATGTTACAACTTAAGTTATAATGTTATAATTACACACAATCAGTCTGTGACAATAAGTGTTTCTTTAAGTGCTAAAAGTTGCTCCTCGCCTAATTTAATCTTGTCTGATATCTCCTTGGAGTCCATTATCAGTTTGGCCTTCATGTTGATGAAGTGGTCGTAATCGGCGTATTCCTCGGAATTCAAATATTTGTAAAGGATATTCGAAACGTTAACGCTGCGGCGATCGATGCATTCTTTTAGCTTTTTAGCCTCCCCCAGCTGGTCCAGAAGCTTATCCCTTTTAGCTTCCAGTATTCTCTGAAAGCAACAACTTTATAAATTTAATAGTCCCATGAATCTGTTTAAAATATGATCTTCCAGAACACAGACACGGAATCGAAACAGAAATTCAAACTCAGTGATTCTTACCCTCTCTGGATGGTCTTCAGCCATTGACATCAGGGCATTTTCGGCTCTTGCCAGTCTTCCAGATAGTCCTAATAATAAGCTTGTTATTTTTCCTACTTCCTCTACGTGTAACCTAAATTTGGCAACTTCGTGTGGCCTCGCGACTCTGTTAATATGTGTCTCTACGTTCTCTCCAAGTTCATCGTTGATTTTGCACTCATCAGATACAACTAGCTGCTCACTGCGTAACACTTCCAGTTTTTTGTCCAATCGATTCACTAATTCCTCCTACAAAACAAGGTCCTCAATAATGTGCTAACATACGATTTAGTTTATTCAACAAAAACTTTAAAGGAATGATGGATCAGTACAAGAAAATTACATATAATGTTCATACGTTACCTTTTTCTGACTAAGATCTTTGGTATCCTTGACAATATGACATTTATTCATATCTTGACTATATCTAGTTAAAAATTTAGCCTTCGGCTCTGATGTAGTGAAATATATGGATGACCCAGAAAGAGGACTTGTTGGTTCCAAAGCGGGGATGATTGGAAGAGTTGGAGACAAACTGAAAAAAGTTTATTATTAATTTGATGGGTGAAACATTTTAAGCGGAGCTAAATTAACAACGATTGTACCTTAATTTGCTGGTTGTGGTGCTACTCGTCAATATTGGTAGGGACGTGGGTGGAGGAGTGCTGCTCGGGGTGTTGTTTCTACTTCGAAAAGGTGAATTGGCAGGCCTTGGTCTCGAAGTGACGTCAACGCGGAACAACCCTTGCACGTAATCAGTTGGTTTTTTATGTTCTGGAGCAGGTACTGGAACAAGAGAAAAAATTTGATCAAGACGAATCAAGAGGAGGAAAAATATCACTTACCCAAGAGCTCTTTTAATCTGTCTGAAGTGGGTAGGTGATCGACAAAATCCTCTGCCAATTTTTCGCACTCGATCTCCTCCTGCAACTTCTTCCTCGTAGGTAAAGGTGTCGGAGGTAATTCCTCCTTTTCCGTCTGTGATGCCGCGTCGGTGGTCGTTGTGTTAACCCTTAAAACAACTTCAGTCCTTTGAATTAATTGTAGGCCTTCTATGACCCTGGGATAGTCGTCCGGTTTCTTTGGAGAAGGCGGAGGGGATGATTCTGGAGTTACCGGGGATTTAGGGGAGGATGTCGGCGTCGTGAGAGGGGATACGTGAAGGGGGGTGCTCTGATTAGAAGAATTTGTGTGGGGGGATATTCGGAGAGGGGATAGCTTCAATGGGGTGCTGGGAGAAAGGGAAGGCTTTATTATTGGGGATAACCTCTTAGGGGATTCCGAAGGGGAGTGTGCGCCTTTTGATTCTGGGGAAGGTGGAGGATTTGTTATGATTCTCGAGACGGGGGTGAAGGAGATGGGAGCGGGGGAACTTCTGGTGGTCAAGGTGGACGTTGTGGTACTTGAAGAGAACGCTGATGTATGAGAAGTGATTGGAAACGTGTGTACTACCGATGAGTTAATGGTCGTTGTAACCGAAGGAGTTGTGGTTACCGACGATGTGCGTATTACAGGCGAATTAATCGTTGTGGAAATCGATGCTGCTGGAGATAAGCTGACGGAGCGCAAAGGTGAAAACGGGGAACACCTCGCAGGACTTTTGGTTGGTGAAGAAGGCGGTGACTTCATCGGGGACTTTGGTGAAGATTTAGTCATATGATCATTGTCTAGAGGCGACAAACTCAAGTGGGTTGGCCTGTTGTATTGTTGAGATCTAGGCCCGAGCAGTTTGACATTTACCGGAAGTACGTCTGGTAAAGCTAGATTAGGTTTTAAGTCTTCTTTTTCATCACAATTATCTTTCTTCTGCTTCTCGTTTACGGAGGCCCTCCTCAGTATGTTATTGTTGTTCTTTAACAGATCCTTGCTGTTTCTGTTCAGGGGCCAGATGGCCTCCCGGCTGTTGACTCGCTGCGATTCGTTTATCACCTCGGGGGACAGAGCATGGCCGTTGGGGGACATCGTCCTCTTGTAGCTGCCGGTCTCCGAGTCCGGAACTATTCGGTCTCTGTCCCGGCGAGGCGCTAGGTAGGCTGCCTTGGATTGGCTCCTGTAACAAAAAAAAGTATATTAACTCTGGTCTTAAATAGCAAAATATTTTTAATTTCAAAAATTGACAATAACACGTTACAAATTTCAATGTAATGGGTTTTTTGTTTCGTAATTATAGAACAAACGTTTTACTTTCATGTGTTTCGTTTGGACAAATGTTTATTTTAACCTTCGAATTATCTGGTAAAATTTAAATTAAAGACACCTGTATTATTGTAAGTCATCGAACCATTACCGACATAAAGCTTATACCTACTGATGTTGAAATTTGCGTATTTGTATGTTTAATTTTTTCTTTGTCGATCATAATATACATACTCCTGCTTATTTATTACAGATAAGAACTGAAGCAATGTCACCATAACAAATCAATGCTAAGCATGCAACAAAGCAAATAAACATAACGCTATGAGTAATTCAGAAAAATCCCGTGTGTAAGTGAATAATCTTCCTTATCGTATGTATTAATATGATAACCACATATTTCATTGTCATGAGTTTGTTGCTTCCCAAATGCTGTCGCTGATATTAAAAAAGCAAAATAAATGAAGGAATCTTAACCTCAAGTAAGACAAAACAAATTTACTAATGAACTGGTACATCAACATTCTATTGTTTATGTACAACAATGGAGATCGCTTTCAAGGATGAGCTCTGTACATATAATAAATATTTTACGAACTATATTAAAGCAGTATCTACAAATATCATTATAAATAAAGCTCTAAACACCACATGCATGTTTATTTTGGATACTTCACACACTTAACTCCAATATCACTTTCCTTCTCGACAATAAATTATAAAATTTCTGACCAAACAGAAATTTACTTTCATTGCTATTATCTGACACCGTTTAAAGCATAGAGTGACATTTCGTTTGGAATATCTTTCACCTCACCACTACTTAGTAAGATATGACCTTAAAATGAAACCGAAACTCTCGTTTTTATTCTCTGGCAGTAAGAATAATTAAAATCGTATTTTTAATTAATTGTTATCAACAGTGTAAATGCGGGTTAACTGGCACAAGTGAAAATTCTCACGAGAAATTGCAGTCGAATGTGTACATAAAATATTTAAATTGCGTGTTCGCAATGCTTTTGACATATTCGACATATCGGTATAACCTTTGATGGATTTGTTATAAATTATAGTCTAATATATTTTTTATTTTTTATAATATATTATATTTTTTGAACAGGAATATTTGTCAAAATTTTGCAAATTCGTTAAATAATAGCAATATACTACAGGGTGATTCCAATTTAAATACAGAAACTGCAGGACTAGATTCATTACCAAAAAATATATACAGTTTGCTCTGTAAATTTTTTTCCTGCGGGACTCGGTATTCGAGATACAGGGTGTTAAAGAATTGAATGAAATTTACTACGGCGTATTCCCTTAATTAGAATGTTTTATTATAACGCGTGGTAGTGATAGTTTAAATAACTAGATGGATTTCACAAGGTTTAACGGCACTCACAGTGTACGATAATTCAATAAACAAAGAAATCTAAATAAATTTAAATAAATTTGGAGCAAATATGTACACTGAAGATGAATTTTTCGAGACAAAACGTCAGAATCTGGTTCGGGCTGAGGCAGTACAGTATTGGGGATCATAAAGGCTTGCAATAAATGTAATAAAATTTCCAGGGTCGTATTTAAAAAAATGAAGTTGATGGTCTTGCAGAGACGAAACGTTACATATAAAAATTGATTAGCCATTCGATAGAGTGCATAAAGTGGTCATGAGAAAGTGTTCTTCTTTTTTCAATATCACCTCAAACAGGGTTGAAATGAAACAAAAACTGATTTCCAAAATTTCGGTTTTTTTTTCAAATATTTCGAAAACTAATAATGTTAGTCTTGATTTTCTAGATGCATAATGTTGGTCCCCTGATTACGCAACTTAGCCCCCATTAAGCTAGTTCGTATCTTTTGCCCCTGTAGTGAGAAGGGAATTTGTAACAAAGTTTTTCATTATTCTGTTTAATTAAATAATGTTACTCTTGTTGCTTTTAATAGTGGCACATGTCTAGCTGACCCACATTTAGTAGAACTCCTCCAATTCCCAACCTTTGACTTTCTTAAATGGGTCAATTACCATGGGGCCAAATAACGATCCCATGATGTAACGATACTCCAATAGTAGACTAATCAATTTTCCAGCATGCGTACGCATAAATTGGACCTGAGGAATGCAGCTTGCTTTCCATCATCTAATACCAATAAAAGACATCTGCGTCGCATCGTCCCCTGGCATTCCAGACAAATTATGAATATATAGAAGAAAGTCGTTCCACAAGCCAGACGAACGAGCGTAATCGCAGGCAGCTCACTAGATTTCTTCGCTAATGACTTGTGATTGCCGCCATATGCACCCATACTGGGTGTGGATGTGGATAATTTTCTAATGTGAGCGTCTGTGTCGGTGAGATATCCCCGAACCCATGCATACGGCTTAATTATAATATCCGTAATTGATTATATTTGCAAGTGGTCGACGTAGTTCTCGCCTTAGGACAAGAAAACGTGTTGAGAGACAGGAGAACTCTCAGTCTCACCTCATTCCGTCTAGTTGTGAACTTGAACCACTATCACTTTGCGTGATTCTTTCAGCTAGACAGGGTTGCCAAATTTATAGACATCGAAGACACTATGATGTCCACAAAAGTATACAAATAGTAAATTATATGAAACCGTTGAACATATACAAGTAAAGTAAAATTTTCAAATGAACCTTACATAGAAAGAAGATAGAAAGCAGTTCTTTGTGTCTCTCGCACCGTTTTTATATCCCGACGTTATTTTACGAAGCAATTTCCATTATATCGCCCTGCAGTTCGGCGTTTCTAGGGATATTTAATTTTATGGCGCCGTTTCTGTTTTAACTGCTCGACAACTACAGGACTGTCTTTATTTAGGGAATAATCATAAAATTTCATGGTTCGAGGCACACAGCTGCGGATTTATTACCCAAATATAATAACCGGATCCGGTTGTAAAATATGTAATATTTTTGTGGTAGTACAGTTGTCTTTCAGTTTCCCTTCATGTTCAAAGTTATAGGCTATTAATTAAGTATATCTAAAAAAAACAAGGTTAAAAGGAACTATAACGTTCAAGCAATTTTATTGCAAAAATTAGAGCCAAAAAAGTAAAAATTTTTTGCTTTTAAAAGTCGTTTTTTAACGTTAAGTTAATGTGAATCTTAGTTGACTATAAAAATATCGATACTTCGGTTCTTTGGAAAAGAATTAATAATTTTATTTTTCAAATACAGGGTGTTTTGGAAAAAGTACCATACATACAAGAGGGGGGAACATAAAAAGAATAAGGCCAAAGTTTTTAAGATATCACGGTCAAATACGATTTTTTTAAATTAAATTTTAAACGTCCTTTTTTCCAAAAAACAATGTAGTGCATTGAAATTTGTAAAGTATTTTGAGGTTAGGTTTTATATGACGTATGCCACATATTATAGCGAAATGTCAACCAGCTTCTCTTTCGTAATATACAGAGTGTCCGAAATTAAATGAGCCATACTTTATGGGTAGCCTCCTTGGATGAAATTAAAACGATATAGATCAAGTTATCTAGTACAAACTTGTAAAAATATTTAAAAAATTATGTTAATTTTAGTTAAATCAAAATTTAAAAAATAGCTTTTTAAAGAAGTAAAATTGCATTAAAGTAACTTTGATCCAGATTGGAAGCTATACCTGAAGTGTGGAAAATTATTCTTTTTTACACTAGATACATTAAAAAATAGTACCTAGCTGGTTGACTTTGAGACAGTCATTTGCGTTTTTCTTTGACGTTAGATCTATGACCTATAAGAAAAAATTCTAATTTTTTGATTCTACGAGTCATTAAATTTGTGGAACTTCCTAGAAAACGCCCTGTGTATTTTCGCAAAAGTATAATAATAACTAATCAGTGTGATAATACAGTCAAAAATTGATTGATATAATATCTAAATGGACAATTTACGTACTTATCAGAAGTGTGATTTCCATTTTTATGATTTCGTTTTCTTTTTAATTTTTACTATTAATAATTATTTACAGCAGCAATCACTTTTTATCGTTAGTCAAAAACAGACAAATGACAGCGAAGGACAGAAGGCAAAGCCATGCGAATGTTAAATTTTGGTTAATTCCAGACCATATGGTTGCAAAAATTAATTAATTAAGAGAAACCGTAATATAACGAGCCTTTCAGCAGTCGCACTTTGAGGTGAAATTTTAGCAAAGTTTAAGAAACATAAACATTTCATACTTTTACAGATTATCAATTAAAAAAGTGATATCGATTTCGTTCAGAATTAAAATCTACTCTCTTAATATTGCACTTGTGTTGGATGAGTGAAATCAGCACTTCACTGAAAGAGATATTGGTTTGAATATGAATTTTTCAGCATACTATCCAGTAACTTTTTCTGTGTACTTTATGTAGTGTGTATTTACGAAATACATAAGATATTAGCAGATGAACATACTTAAACTTTCTTAATTTTAAATATAAGCAAAACATATTCCTGTATATTTTCCTGCTGTAAATTAAAGTCGATTATAGTTACTTAAAACAAACAAGGCCGAAAATAAATTAGTCATACAAAAAAAATCAGGTCCACTTTCAACTTTTCCCGATTACGATAAAACAGATTCTTGTAATTAACAGAAATTTCAGTTATTGGTTAACTGAAATTTTACGCCATTAGGTACTTTTAATTAATCTCGACTGCAACATTTCGTAAAAACAGTTGCACAGGAAGTCAAAGTAACAGTAAACCTCAGAAGAGCAAAACGGGAGCAAGTCGTTTTGCTAATTTTATTTTATTAGGTGTATCGACAATTTGTCATTACCATACAACGGTAATCTGGTTTCCTGAAGCGTTATTTATTCAGTTAATATTTATGTATTATAAAGTGAAGGTTGTTTGCGTTGTGACATGAAACCGAATACTAACGTTTTATATATTTAATA